ACATGTGGAATGAATAAATATCTAATGAACCGATCGATTTTCATTGAATTCGCTGTTAATAAATAAAAATGAATTATTACAATTTGAAAATATAAAAATGAATTATTACAATTGAAATTTTAGGTTTATGATCGATTATGTGAAGTCGATCGATCATGAAAAATCTTCGAGATCCATTATTTGATAAATCAAATAAACACTTTAAAAAAAGCATAATTATTTGCTTGCAGCAAATATATCATTTCTTCTTCTGATCAATGATTGTAGTGATAAGTTTTAAATAAGCCAATTCTTAAAATTAAGAATTCAGATAATGTAAATATTCTTGAAATCAACATCTTTCTTTTTCCTTCTTAGTTTTAAAAGATCTTTTCTTTAAAAGTTTTTTTCAATTTCTTTAATTCATTGTTGAAAAAAAAGAAAATTATATGTTGAAAAAAGTGTTTGAAAGGTAAAAGTAATCATCATCAGGTCAAACTCACTGCATGACAGGTCAAATTCATTGCGTTAAAGGTCCATAATTCTGAGGAAAGAAAAGGAACTGTTAATGATGGTAGACTAATAGAGTTGTCAAGGACATAAATCAAGGTGTTGATTTATCAAATAATGGATCTCGAAGATCTTTCATAATAGATCTCACATAATCGATCATAAACTTAAAATCATTTCAAATTATAGATAGATGTAGTAGTATATTGAAGACTGTAGTATTTCATAAATATTCTGTGAAAATAAAACTGTATTATTAGAAAGGATTTGAAAAGGGTGAAGAAAAAATTATGAAATTTAAAAACACAAATGCTAAAATAAAAAGCTGTCTAAATTGGAATGTATTTATAATTGGACAGATGCACCATATATTTACATGAACAGGTGTGTCAACATATGCAAATACTACATAATCATTATTCGTCACAATTTGCAAAAATAAAAACTGCATAATAAAAATTATGTATTGATGATAATAAATCAAGGTATTGATTTATCAAATAATGGATCTCGAAGATCCTTCATAATAGAACTCATATGATCGATCATGATCAATGTAAAAATATAAAATTGAAAGAATTTTTAATCAGAATGATAAAAAAGTTTTTTAATGATCGATCATGTGAGAAAATGGATAATCTTTTAATACATTCTTTTCCTAACTTCAATCGTTAGAAATGAATTCTTAGGAAATGAAAATTAAGCTTTTATTTAATCTTCAATCATTCTACGACGCCTTCTCTATGTGATAATACATGAAATTATTCCTTATAAGGGAGAAGGAATTCATCTCTAAGGCATTGTTCATTTCTTTTAAATGACATATCGATCATTTAAAGTGGTCATTTAAAATTAATCCATAAATGAGCCATTTTAATAGCAAAATTATTACCATCTAAATTTACTCGAGCTATCTCGAAAATTTAAATCATTTTTCATTAGATGAATTGTATGATTAAGTAGAGTTGTAGAAATTAAATTAGAAATAACTGTTCTATTAAAAGGAAAAGAGGACATACGGTGATAACCACTGGTTAGTCCAAAATGATCGTTCAATTTTGGATGCTAAATCGGATTATCTGCATTACTTACAATGCTTACTATTAGTGCATGCCCAGGGGAATGGAACTGGACTTCACTTGATAAGGCTATTTCTTATTCCAATTTTAGTTGGTCAGGAAATCGGCAACTCTTTTGTATGACTATGAATCATGTCTTAATTTTCTTCACTAATAATTTAGCAACCAATAATACTTCATTCGAATTATTTTTGAATATTTTAAGTTATAAAAATTCTCCGAATTTTCTGAAATGAAATTTTATTTTAAAAAAAAAAAAATTAATTGATAAATGTTAAAATTTTTAATTATTCAACTTAATTTTCTCATTTGACAACAAATTAATAATTCTGAATATTGTGGTATCCGAACAATTGGAGAAATGAGAGGATGCATTATATTTTATTTATCGTTTTCGTAAGTCATAGTATAGATTAACGACAGATATTAATGTCTAAATTAATTTCACCATAGAATTTTAATTGCTACAATTCCGTAAATGATTATGTAATTTAGAATTTTGAAATAGAAAAATTAACTGATAGAATTTGTAAAATAAATTAGTTATAACAATTACTTTTAACAGGGATCTTGTAAATTATTTAAGCAATAATAGCGATAACAAAAATAATGATAGTAATGATTAATAAAAACAAAAATAATATTAGTTATAATAATAATAATTAATAATAATAATAGTAACGATAATAATAATAGTAACTGATAACAACTTTTGAATTGAAATAATAAAAAGATTATGAAACAATGGATAAAAGATCGCATAAGCATCATTTTAGAACGGTTGACACCAATCATGATTTTTTGTCATTTTCTGTTACTTACTAATTCTTTCCATTCTATAAATCGTCAGTTTTGAATTTTGAAAATTTCGTATTTCAAACTTTGCTCGATAAGAAAAATAATGAAGGAAGTGATAGCCCAGGAAGAGAGAATTAAGGTTAGAGATCGTAAATCAAATACAGTTAATCACCAGCAATTAGAATTGGACAATTAGACGACAAGGACGACAAGAAGTACTAAAAATTAACGACTTTTGTCAGGTTATTGTGGAAGACGATAGGGTAATGCTTTGTAACGTGAAATAAAGATTTCAGAAGTATCCTTACGTGATAAACATTCTATTAGCATCATCGCCGTTCCTGCCAATATCCGTCTTTCCGATATTTCGTTTCTCAAACTAAGCACAATACTATTTTATCTTCTTATTGAGGGGTTTCATAGATAAAATCCATCGCTATCTTTTACAATTATTTCATCAAATATATTAATTTGTGAACAAATTTTAAGAATATAATTGAGTGAAAATTCGACTTAAATTTCTAATTAATTAATTATTTGTTCATTAAGAAATACTTTTCTAAAGTGAGATGAAGTCCATTACTTTGACCACCTTGTTCGCCAATTAGATTATTATCATAAGTGGAAAGTATTAAGTTATAAGCTGTATAATTTTTTCATTCTCTAATTATAGTTTATGATAAGGAAGATTAAAATTTGTGAGAGTTATTTTTCTTTTTATATAAACAATCCACCTTATTTAATAGATTAGTCTAAGAAGTTTATAATAAAAAGCTTTCTGAAGCTGACATTTCAATTATCATTAAGATAATGAATTCAATCGTCGAATGATAAAGAAATCAAGGAAAGTTAGATAATCAGAAATCTTTTGATAGTAGAAAAATTTCAACACTTTAACATTTCTAATGCTGATAATAGTAGTTTCAACAAATTATATCAAGACTAAAACACAATTGCTTAATTAAGGCATATCACGAATAACAATTGGACTAATCATCTGTTTTTTTGCACTAACTTTTTAAAAAGGTCAAAGACTGATTGAATGATTAAATTGAATAGAATGTAAGTGAAAATTTAAAATATGCTAATCAATTATGCATGATAAATTAGTCTCGTCTAATAGTTAACAAATTTATGAAAATTTATTCACACATTAATTTAACTTCAAAATTTCCTTTTGATAATTGGATCTTATATTTTACGAATTCTCATCGCAAAGCTGACTGATTAGCGAATGCTACAATTTATGAAATTACTATTATATGTGATATATGTAAAAGGGATGACGACGGATCAGTTGAAAGATAAAAATAAAATAGTAAGTATAAAATCGAAAAATATTAATTAAGTGAACGCTGTAATTAAACTGTAAGAATGAAATATCGATTTTTCTTTTGGTAAAATATCTGGAACTAGAATCTGAGTGATTAATATGAAGTTGATGACAATTACGAAGAAAAACTTGACAATCATTACACTCATGTAGTTTTTTAGTATGTGAACTGTATTTCTCTTGAAATCAAAAAAAAAAATGAGAACGATCATCGGATGCCGGCAATGTCAACCCCGTTATTTTTCTTTCCTTCAACAAATATTTCATGAGAAATATTTTTAAGCAAAAAGATTTTATTTTGTATACAACTAATAAAATATAGTTTAATAACTGTTACACGGTATTGGTAATTATGCAAGTTCTATAGAGAGTCGCGATTTGCGGAGTCCCAACCCTGGAAAATCTTCATAGCTCAGACATCTGTTTAGGTTGTAAGAATTTTAAGAACCGACACAACGACGTAAAAGTTAAATTCTTTAGACGAAATGTGGATAATGCGTAAGAGATAAATGAAGGACAATTTTATTCGAACAAGAAGAAGTCAACTCTGTCATTTTACCCAAAGAAATTTTATAAGTCTTAAGCTTCAAATATTGTTGAATTTGAGAACAGACTTCAAAAAATCTGAAATTTCATTTAGAGACTAATTCAGCATCTAAAGACTCCCATTCGGATTTCATCATCGCCTTTTGCTCGCTTCAACTTTTGATACTTTTACAATCAGTGAGGCCTAGAACTCCGCCTCATAAGAGTGACAAACCATAAAACGTATTGAATTATAGAAAACTTTATAGCAGGGCATCAATTTCTGCAAAATTAGCGAATACATACTCGCCAGGAGGTAACGACGCGAACACTGTACAGAATAGGAATAACGCATAGAGGCTTATGAAGCTATTGAACAGTAAGGAAAGAAATAACAAAAAGTAACATAGCTCTACTGATCTACAAGATCATAAAACAAATAGTAAACGAAACGCATTATTGCTGAAACTAGTACAGACATGTTAAAGATCTATTTTCTACAAAAATTATGAAATTGATAAGGCGTTCGTCAAATTTGGGAAGGATAAAAGAAACTAAAAAATATGAAACATACAGCATTTTTTTCTGCAGCTACAAAAAGCAAAGAATGGAAAAACAGCTGATTGGAGAGCGTGATATCAGGAATATAGCATTTCAGGAATAGTAAATAACAGAAGCAAACAACGAATAATCGAATAAATAAAATCCCCGTCCATAAGATAAACATTTTGGTACGAAAGATTAATGTTCATACATGTCAACACAATCAACACATTTCAATTCACCTGTTCCTTAACGCCGCCATTGCTTCCGTCACATATGATGACATCTTTTAAAGGACGACGGAATAAAAGAACCTAAAAAATTGATAATTGATTATTTTACATCGTATGCAACGGTATATGTAGAGAATTGCCAAAGAATGAAAAAAGCATCACGATTTGAGAAATTCTGCGAAGGGAATGAGTCTTAAAAATGTAGAATATAGCACCTGATTATCGACAATGGCTTATTGGAAACAACTATTGAAACAGATTTTTTTGTAACTACAAAAAAGTTGCCAAGAAATATAAAGTCACTTATAACTTTAATAGTTCTACAGTTTGGTTTTGGCATTTGAAGCAAACAGAAGTGAAAAAGCTTGAAAAGTAAGAAACGTTTGAACTGACTTTTAGCAAAAGAGTGACTTGTTATAAAAAGTAGATTGTATGTGATAATAGATGAATATCACTCTAGTTACTGAAAGAAATTCTAACGCAATTTTTAAAAATCTATACCAAAAAAGATCATAGTACTATTCTGATGCCACTACAGTTTTCTGATCTAGGCAAAATCTTTACATCTGAGAAAAATGCTGAGCAAATCTAGAAGATGCGCAAAAAAGTGCAATGTCTTCAACGAGTATGGTCAATAAAAACGGTTCAGTTCTCCATATCTAACGAGTACCCATTTTTAAAATTGAACTGCTATCAACATTTTGTCTACCTCTGTTCGCACTGATAGTCAGGCAACTTTTTGTAGTATGACACCGAAAATTCTTAGAAGAAATGCAGAGCTCCAAATATGATTTTTTGTACTATAGGAGTAAGCAAACTTTTTTCTGTTGACTACATCACTGTACCCATTTTGATTAAAAAGATTAGAAAGTAATTATAATAATTTAAAATTTCGAATCCGAGTATACACGTAGATATATTATTTAATATATTATGTCATGTAGAATAAAAAATTTACGAAATTGGTAAACTGCACAAAAATTAAAATGCATAAACATCTATTGCTTTTTAGACTGCAGACAATATTTTGTATCTGCCATAAACAAACTTTGTGCACACAACACAGATAATTTTATTAACAAGAAGGAAAGCGCTATGCCGAAGGCCGAGAAATCCTGCTAATTTTGTAGACGTAAGTATTGAAAATAAAGCCTTGGTGACATTGCAACAAAAATTTAGGGTACGAATTCTACTCAAATAAAAAAAATAGCATACATGTCTCTCCGGGCTATGAATCATGTAATGAACCCATCCTTGACTTTGCTGTATTCCAAGTGATCGCCATTCTTTTTCACTCATCAATCGATCCTTTGGTATAAGTCGGACTAAGTCCTTAGGTACATGTACATGCCTGAAAACATATATCAAAATATATCATCTTACTAAGTCATTTAACTCACTAGATTAAAATCATTTTGGATGAATTCTAAAAATCTAAACAATCTCATTAATTAATAATAAATCAATTTCAACTCTTAACACTCAGCCTTCTTGTGAAGAATCACAAATATACCGTCCATACATCTGTCTTTTTGATATTTTCCAAGTTAGAGGAAATATTTCCGATAGATGTTGCTCATAGGATTCAGAATAATTATCACGACATCATTCCCGCTCACTATTGGTAAACTTGAAACTTCAAACAATTCTTATCCAAACTTGCATAACACTAAATCATAACACAAACCTGTATTCATATTTATCATCACTATATTTGTTTGAATAATAGAAGTCACGAGGTGAAGCACTCATTGAATTTAGCAGAAAACTGACTCAGTGATTCAACTTAGAACCGGAGAATGCGAGAAGTGAATTTGCTCCTTCGTTTCTGAGGTAAAAATCTTTTTTATTATGTATTTTCAAAACAAAAGTTTCACAACGAAAAATATATGCATCATTTTTCAATTCCAGCCCCTATATAGTCAAGATCTGAGCAAATGCATGGATGATTTCAGAACGTATAAACAGATGGTCTTTCTACGTTGAGAGCGAGCTGAAAGAGCATAAAGCAAAAAATAAATTCGGAGAGCATGTGCCCACAGTTGATCTGTAGAGGACTCAATATCAGCGATCAGAAGGAAAGAGGTTGAAACATAAACTTTACCACTTCGAACTGTGGTATTTTCCATTAAGTGATTGGTAATACACGGACTATGATTCATTACATGCCAACTCACAGGACAATAATGATAGAGAAAATATGATCAAGAAGGATGGATAAAAATGTTGACATATCATTCACTGCTCCTACCTGCGATCTTCAAGTTTAATACTATCGGATCATTAATGTTGTTTATAGCCCTTTTGTCATAATGAAAATTTTAGCAAAAGAAAAATCATGCATAACCAACAACTTGACTATTTCGACAGGCATTCCGTCTCATACGGAAAGTGGAGTGATGAAAGGCTCGTCAAATTTGACAAGGACATCGACTAAAACACGACTTCATGAGTTTCCTATCCCAGAATAATGCACAATACCGCCAACAAGAAACCCCTCCCCCCTCCTACCTCCTACCTCTGACCACACAACTTGACAGGCACACTAGGCGGCCCTATCAGTTGATCAAAAACTTTGCCGCCAAAAAACGCTTTAGAATCGGTTTACTAAACCGTAGCATTGCGATATGTGACTCTGATTCCTCAAGTTTCACTGCGGCACTATGAAAACAAACATCTCAGAGATCCGCAAGTTTTGAGCTGTCAGTTGCGTGAAGAAAAGACATGAGGAATGGTTCATTCTTTATGAAGCTTGGAATGCTTCACTTTGTAAATTGGGAGAATATTTTAAGTTTGATTTCAAAATGAAACAAAAAAACATTCATTGCATAACGAAGCTTTATTCCGCCATTGAGTCTATATGCCATGTTTTTCTACTTCAAAGTAAAAGTTCTGCAAAGTAAAATGAAATGAATGAATAACGAAAAATCCTAATATTTTGAACCTCCTCTCACCATATTCCCACGAAATTTTCGTAAACTGAAGTTCTTTTAAACTTGAAAAAATTGCTGATAAACTCCATCTCAGCAGACTTTCAAATCTTTAGTCATTTGCATCTATGAAATTTTCAGTCAACTCACTGACATTCCCAATTTACCTCTCACCATACCCTCAAATGCATCCTGTATCAAATCACTTTCAAGACACTCCGGTCCAATCCAATAACGCAACAATTTATTTGATTGCGTCTTGCAGCACAAAAGCGAAAACGGAATTTAAGTGCGAGGTCTGAGGAATAAGGAGGGAGTCTACTGATTGTGGATTAAGTGTTTAGGGTAGTGGACGGTAGTTATGGCGTTAAGGTGTGAAAGTAACTCTTTGGTATTTCAGTCTCTTGTGGTATTCGCTTTATCAGCGGTAGTGGAAAAAAAATGGGTCGCGATGCGCACCATCGTCGGAAACGTAAAACTGGAAAAGATGACGATTCATCGGATGAAAGCAGGCAACGTTCTTTATCTCGAAGTCCAGAAAAAAAGTAAGTCTGACTACTATTTGAATCTTTGAATAAATCTAATTTTGAGCTTTTTACGAAATTTCAACAAATGTGTAAATTTTCTACAATTTTCTTTTCTTATATTCATTTACAATAAGCTGTTTTCCGTTTTTCAGATCAAGACGTGTTGATAGAGGAAAACATAAGGAAAAGTCGCCGGGTACTCCTTCATCTAACAAGAAGTGACGTTTTGTTGTATTTCACACCACGTCTTCATATATTCTTTTCTCCCCAGCTGTGCTGATAGTTTTAAGATAAATCATGTGGAGATTTTCAGTGAGGAAAGTATATCAATTGAAGAAACCAACAGGTTACGTTTATCGCTTGGTTTATCTCCACTTGAAGTTAATAGTGGACCGAAAGAACGAGAAGTGGAAGGAAGTGAAGGTACAGAAAAAGTCTACAAAGAGGATGGAATGGAATTTGTGCATAAAAAAGCCGAACATCTAGGAGAAAAAAAGAGGGCTGAAGAAATGCGGGAGAAATTATTGGTTTGGTTCTTCATATATTTGATTACTTTTAGTGAATTTTTATCCGAGTACCATTACAAACTTTTTTGTTTTGTAATTATATAAGACAAAAAATTCATAAAAATGTGTTAACTTGGTAAATTAAGGTGGTTCGTGATAAACGAAAGCTGTATGAAAAAGTATTAAAAGTGAAACCGTTGGCAGAATCCGATTCCGAGGAAGACACGGCCTCTTGGGTTGCAAAAAATCGTGAACTGGAAGAAGAACGGAAGAGAGCGGAAGAAAGGGTATGCGTCCTATTGTTCTGCGATTTCGTTCATTTTTTAAAATTCTAAACTGATAGACAACGTTAAAATGTGGTAAAGATGAAAAACCTAAATGAGTTGAAAATGTTCTACATACATGATGTCGTTGTGAAACAAATATGAGAACAATGATTACTTTCTCAGGCTAAAATTCTGGATGATATGGACGCTGATTTTGGTGTTAATGCATTGATAAGCGAGGAGAATAAAGTGAAACAGATCAGAAAAACCAAAAAACGAGGAGTAAGATATAACTCTTATAAGTATTTTCGAAATCATTACAATGTCTTTTATTATTTTTTCATCGGAAATAAATCTATTTTTCATGATTTGAATTTTTGAAGCAGAAATCAGATCTCGCAGGTTTAGTGGTGGGCCATGCCAAAGAGGACTTCGAGAGTAACGAAACTGTTTTAGTTCTCGAAGACAAAGGTTAGAATATTGCAATACTTCCTGAATTTTTTAACTCTTTTTACTTCCTGATTTTTTAAACTTTTTCTGGAGATATTTCTTAATGCATTTTGCTTCTTAAGTTATGTTGGCTTGTTTAAGGCGTTTTGGATGAAGGTGAAGAAGTGCTTGTAAATTTGAATTTGGCTGAGAACTACAGGTATCAGAAGAATGCCGAATTCAAGAGAAAGAAGAATCGCTATGAGCCTTATGAAGAGGAATTTGATGAATATGGAATGGTTTGTTTCGAAGTTCGGGATATTTTTTGGAAGAGTTCAGTAATGATCATTTTGTAGCTTATATTGCGTAATTTTCAGCCCAAAGAAAAAGGACTTCTATCAAAATACGATGAATTGGAAGGTGAAGCAAGGAAGACTTTCCGTCTTGGTGCGTTTTTAAATGAATTCGAAGTCTAATTGTTTATCATTACTCACTATATTATATACCTGTTGTAGGTGTTGAAATATTATCTAATCAGCGGGAACCCAATCATTTATATAGCAATGTGGTGTATGAAGCTCTACCACCATATGTTCAACATTACTCTATAACATCATTTTACCTACTGATTTTGCAGCCCATAATATTGTCAAACTGCAACTAAGCGTAAATTATTTTAAGATGAAGGTGGCGAAGTTGATATTGATAAAGAGCGGGAAGAAATTAAAATGCGTCAGAAGCTATTAATGGCAAACAAGAAACTAGAATCGCTGGATACGCTGAAGTACACGGTGGCCAGTGAATTTTATACAGAGGTTTAAATTAATAAGCATTTTTTTCAATGCAGTAGAATTGTGTGTACTGTTTGTAAGAAATTTTTTTTCAAGATAATGTAATAAAAAGAAATTGATCGAACTTTTTTAGGAAGAAATGCTTTCATTTCGCCGACCGAAGTCAAAAAAAGACAAAAAGTTGCGTAAGAGAAAGGAAAAGATGTTGAAAGCTGATGATCTCATTCCGGATGAGTCTGCATTGGTTGATGATACTGGAAGGTCTGTTTAAAAAAAATTTAGCACTATAATTTTCCTACAATATGTTATCAGTTGTTCACATTTGAATGGAGTAGGTTTTTTTTAAATCATTAGCAGCAGTGATTTGAAAGGTGTTGGAGCCCATCAGAATAGCCTGCACATAAGTGGCTTGATAAATATGTTTCGATCGGGGTCTTATGTTTTTAATGATCTTTTTCTGTAAATTTGTTGAATTATTCATTGTTAGAGCGGCTAAAATAGTAAATCGACAGCTCAAAGCGGAACCATTTGGAATTAAAGAGGAGGAACAAACCATAAAGGATAAACCGAATCTGGAAGATGGAGAACTTGCAGATGATGACGAGAAAAAGGTTATATACATGATGTTTGCATGCTCCTTTGTTCCTTATTTTACCACTATTCATTCTCGCGTTAATTTTTTCGTTGATTTTCATGTTTCAATTTAGAGCAACTGGCGTGCTGCAGAAACAAGTGCTTTTGTAGATGTTCAGAATTTGAACAAATTGGCTAAACAGGTGGAAGAAGACGAAGATGATGATGATGATGGTGTGATATTCTTTGTCTTTTTTAGCTAGAAATCTGTAGTTGATGTCGAAGTAATTACTGAGCATGATTTTGGTTTTTTAGATCTGGTTAGTGGTGTGGATTTATCCAATGTTGTGATTGAGGATGATGCTGAAGAAGAACTAACACTGATATTGGATCGTGCTCGTAGACTTAAGCAACACGAAATTAAAAAGGAAAATGCAGAAAGTGATGCTGCATTGAAGGTCATATCTAGATATGAATTTAATACTCTTTATGCTTCAATTGCTGACAAATATTGTCAGAAGAGTTTTTCAAGATTTTTATTTTGATATTCAGTATTGTTTTAAATTCTTATGTATACAATTTTTAGGTGCATGAATTGATAAAGATACATTCGGTGAAGGAGGAAGCGATGGATGTAGAAGAGGAAGTTAATAAAGGCGGTGTTGTTATTGATTCTACAATGGAATATTGCCGTAATTTAGGTAAACACGGACGACATTGCAACTTTAGTTTAACATGAAGTTTAGAAAATTGATCATATTCGTAGTAAGGTAAGTTTTAACATTGCCTTTCCAGGTGAAATTCCAACGTACGGCTTGGCTGGTAACCGGCAAGATGCTGTGGATGTTAGGGAACTGAACGAACCAGAGGCTATAAAAACAGAAGTAGAAGAAGAGCCAAATGCTGATCGTTCACCGGCTGAGTATGTATTTCCACTTATAAAAGAAATTGTTTGTATTTCATGAATAGTACCAAGATTCCAAAAAGTATTTCAAGTTAAGTGCAAATGTCTTTGTTCATTTGTTTTGCTTTGGTCATTGCAGACAGCATCGCAGTCATAGAAGATCGGAGCAGGAGATAAAAGGTAAATGGACAGAAGCAACTGCATCGACATCTGCTTACGACAACAGAAAAACTAGGAAGATCAATGGAGAAAATGATGTAAGCTTTTTACCAGAAAAAATAAAGTAATATTTTTCTTCGTAAGTATTCAAGCACGTCGTATGATGAACGGTTAAGTCATTTTTGGCTAAATGTTTTTAAAATTTAGGATAGTGATGAAGAAGCATATAATGTGTTGGGTGAAGAACGTGATGTAACAAAGGGTGTTGCTGCGATGTTGAAGTCTGCTGCCGAGAAAGGTTATCTTGATGCTGGTAAAGAACGTAAGGTGAAAGGTCCTTCGCTGAAACATCTGGAAAGCAAACGTTTTTCGCAAATTGAAACCAGTCGATAGTATGTTACTTTCTTTAGTTTGTTCAGATATTTGCAATCATTATATCTTTTCTGTTATGTTCTAAAAGAATATTTAAGAGGTACTGAAGATTTTTTTTAATGTGTCAAAAATCTAATGAACATGCAGTTTTATATTAGGCATAAAAATTTATTCTGCAGTGATATTGAGGAGAAATATACGAAGAAACTAGAAAGGATGGGAACAACAGGCACGGGTCCTGTGCGACCATTTCCAGAGAAAGTGGATTACAAACCAGATATACAGATAACATATGTTGATGAACGTGGAAAGGAAATGGAATCAAAGGATGCATTTCGTGTTCTTAGTTGGAAGTTAGTGTAATTTATTTGTCGATGAATGACTAGTGGAAATGGGCACATAATATTTTAATTAAATTTCAAGTATTGATAATGCTTTATCAACTTCTTTTCAGATTCCATGGCAAAGGACCAGGAAAAAAGCAAATTGAGAAGAGACAAGCGAAACAGGAGAAGAAGGAGCTTATGAAGAAAATGAATTCCATGGACACGCCGTTGGGAACGCTTAACAAACAGTTAAAGAAACAAGAAGCGATGCAATCTCCATATATTATTCTAAGTGGTTCTGGAAGAGATACAGGGTTTGTTTCTTTTTCAAAAAAGAAGAGGCATCGGAAGAAATAATTATTAAATCCAAGATGTTGTTTTCCGTATTACTTCATATTTTTTTTAAATTTTCGATTTATCAAAGACATATTGTTGAAATGCAATGATATGTTGAGAAATTGAGCTGTGAATCTTTATCATTTTTATATGGAAAATGCTCATCAGTAACAAGCAATATTTTGTAGGGCACCCTTGAAGAAGGAATAATGCACTTTTCGGAATTAACCCAGAATTCTGGCAAGAAGATCTATAACTTTATTGTGAGTTCTTACAGATTTAACTCAGCTTTTGTTTCAAACAAATTTTGATTGATTTTGTTTTATAAAGAAACCTTTCATATTTCTCCTTCGGGGACAGACATTTTTAGTCATCTAATTTTTGGCTTTTTTACTTTTAAGAAAAATGGTTTTATATGTTGGGGTATTTTTATATTTGAGAACATGAAACCTATTCTTATGTTCCACTTTTATGACTTATGGTTTATAAATTATTGTAATAATTTACAAATCATTACTACGTATAAACGGAGAAGCAATATTGTAACATGTATACGCTGTGATTGTCATAATGATCAAATATATAATTTATTCCAGAAAGGCTATAAACATAACAAGATATCATAATCAGGAAATAAGGGTGAGAGAAATGAGAGGTCTGGCTTAACAGATTAAGTCTAAAGTTTGTATGATAAAACTTTTATATAAGGCGATAAGTTTTTAACTCTTCGTTTCCCTTTCAAAATGTGGTTTCTTGACCGTTCCAAGAATGGAATGAGGGAGTAATCAAAGATGTAAGGATATTTGATGTCCCATCTGAATTTGTTTCGAATAGCACGATGTGAGAAGCAAACTTTAGACTCCATCCGATGTTTATTTTGAATTTTATTCGTCCAGAAACAGGGTTGTCAATATACTTTGTAGCCACAATACAGGAGTTCTAAAACTGCAAAAATACATCTCGTTGTTAGATTTATTTAATGGATCCCGAAGAATTTCAGTTATCTTGAATTTAGCAGTATGGAATGCGATAGCACCTCCTTACTTTCGCGAGGTAACACTACCTACTGTTTCACATCGACGACCGATAGCGCAATATTTTTATAAAACGTTAGAATGTTAAATTCCAATCCGTTTGAGCGAAATATCGTTGTATTCTCTAATCATTGTCATTTAATGACCCAAAAATTATTATTACTTAATGGTCCAGAAGTTCGCATTGCAGTGAGAGAGACTTCCTACTTCCTCAGAATATCCTGGACTGCTGTTGCTGCCGCAGTTGAAAATGATTGACATGAAATGCTTCGGTTACATATACATTGTGCCTGGAAGATTTCAATCCATCTTAGATCAGAAGTTTCAGATCAAAATAAATGATTTAAAACAAACTTGATCTGGGATTTGAGAAATATTTAAATTAAATCATAAAGTACGTCTTTCATATCTTCTAGATAAAATTTTACAAGACAGTTTTTATTAACATTATTCCATTCCGATTCGTTAATTACTGATGTAACATCTGAGTTGGTACTGCGATATTCCGAAGAGCAAGTTATTTTAGTTACTTTAATTTTCTCTGCTTTATCTACTGCATTTAAGAAAATGACATTGTTAAGAAGTTACCTGAATAGTGATAAAGTGAATTCCATGCTTAGATTTTAACTTCTCATTAGCTTCATGCACCGCATGATTCGAATCATAATTCTTTTCGATATCGAGGTGTACCGATATTGCCACTTTATCCATGGTTAATGACCATACTCGAAGTGAATGCACATCTTGGACTCCTTAAAAATTCGTATATATGATTTGCTGTCACAATTATAAGCATACAATTGAATGAAAGAAAGACTGGTCGTGCATCACCAATTTTTAATTCTATTTCGGTTCAGTGCCGAATAAAAGAACTTAAGATATCACTTCGAAACATTCAGTTGACCGATCTTGCAATAAACCATTTCATCTTCCCCTATATTTTCTACTTTCCCTTTTTTCTTAATAAGGAATACCTTATCGTCTCACAGGTCAATAAATTTAACATGTACCTGCTATTTGAGAAATCAGAAATCTAAGTTGTTGTGTAAATACCGAGAGAGAGAGAGAGTCATTAAAAACATTGAGATTAACGAAACTTGAAAATCAATATCGGAAACTTATTATCTACTCAAGAATTTTCAACTAAAGAAAAAGACAAGGTTTTTAATTTTAATTTCTTGTTTTAATCTTTTGAGAAAAAATCCACGCAAACCTTCAATAGCACATAGTTCATTATATAGTTTATCTATATTAATATGCTTTGGTGAAGCTTCCATTAGAACGAGTATCGAATCTCGAGCTACCGAAAATGATGTCATCTGAAAGTAAGAGAAAATTTTTGTAGCTCAAATAATCAGCTTAGATCAAAAATTTTTAAACGAAAATATTTAGAACCAAAAATACGAACCATGACAAGAATTGAAAAAAGAAATGTACAGATAGGATCTGCCAATGGATAATCTATAAATTTAATTATTAGCGCAGCAAATAAAACACCCAGAGATTGTAATAAATCACCAAGAACATGAACAAATGCCGCTCGAATATTGATATTACTCTAAAACAATTTCAATTACAAAAAATATACCTGGAATATTTATTTTTATTAATTTATTGATTGACTGTAATTAACATTTGTTTTAATCAGATTTCCCCACTTAACATGAGTCTTTTTGAAAAGATTAATGTTAAGTGGGAAGATCTGATATTATATCTGTTATTCAAATCCTGTCATTAACAAATTTTAAAATATATAAATTGACACTTGCCATTATGCGTTTCAGATATTATTACTATTAAGAAATAAACTTTATTATTAGGAAAAATAATTCATAAATTCAATAACAAAAACTAACTCCAAATTCGAGTAAATGATGATCATGATCGGTAGTATCAATTGTTTTAATGATATTTGCATTATTATCTTCCTCACATCTAATATCTTTCAAATCATTTTGATAAACTTTACATGTACCATTCTAAAATGTAAATTAATTTTATTTTCATCTCTTAAATACTTAATAATTGTGTATGAGCAAAAAAGCGAGTACCTCAATTTAAATTAAAAATGAATTAATTATTTGAATTGAATTTTAAAGTATAACCTCTAAATCAATAGGAAATGTTTTCCCACTTCCATGATTATGTGACATTCCAAAATGTGAATGCGTTGTTTTTCCAAAATGCAAAATAAGACCCATGATAATATTAAATAGAACACTTGTTAATGCCGTATATAACATAACTGTTGCATCAACGTCGAAATCTTGTTCAATTATTCTTTCGATAGCTGCATAAACGAGTACAGCTGTTAACGCCCAGATCATCATTACACTAAAAAAAGAAGTTAGTAGTGAAATTAAATTATTATACCAAAAATGTTCTGATGATGAATAATACTTATTTATAATTGATTATATTTTATTTCTAATCAATAATACAATCAATATATCATACCTAATTAATGCGCCTAATATTTCAGCTCTGTAATATCCAAACGGTAAACGTTTTGTTGGCTTTCTTTGCGCCAATTTCATAGCAATAATAGCAACACAAAAACTTAGTAAATCAGAAACCATATGACCAGCATCGGTCATAATTGCTAAACTATTAGCAAAATAACCACCCAAAAATTCAATTATTATAAATATCACTGTTACCACCGATACAGCATAAAGTGATTGTTCTGCTTTTCTGCAAAAAAAAAAAACGTATCAGTTATTGTTGAAATAAAAATTATCCGATAAGATGAAATTGTTGAACAATCAAAGAAAGAAATTACTTAAAATAGTTATATAGCTTTGCATAATGGCTATCATAATTAAATGCTAAAATCAAAATCAGCTGTCAATATCAATTTTATCGATATTGATTGATAAACAGTATATCAGTGATTTTATGAAGGATGTACTTCTTCCGTTCTGCTTTATCTTTTTATATTTTACATAAAGATACAAAAACAAACCTGGTGTTATCATTTAATTTGTTATTCATATCACAGTAATATAGTGGTATGCCATCATTAATACCATCTATATGATTTGTAATATTTTTCGCTGATTCTGATCGATCACAAGACATCAATCTAAGATTTCATTTAAGTTTGTTTCACTTGAAAATATTCGCAAAAAAAATCCATTCGAAAACTATTCCACCTTAAAAACCAATTAAATAAAATACTAAAAATTTCGATCAACAAAAATTAAAACCATTTTTAACTTCAACAATATTCGAATCATTTCTTATAGTTCAAATTGAAATATGCAACGTTTTTGTAATTGAAATTATTTGATTTCTTCTAATACTAATCTTTCATGTATCTCTAATATTGATTGATGTTTCACGTATCATCCGCTAATATTGATTGATCTTTCATGTATCATCCGCTAATATTGATTGATCTTTCATGTATCATCCGCTAATATTGATTGATCTTTCATGTATCATCCACTAATATTGATTGATCTTTCATGTATCATCCGCTAATATTGATTGATCTTTTATGTATCATCCACTAATATTGATTGATCTTTTATGTATCATCCACTAATATTGATTGATCTTTCATGTATCAATCACTTTCCCATCTCTATTTAACAAGAAAAAAAGAAGATTTTACAAACTTACAACAATAATATTTTTTTTATGCAACAAAATATACAGTAAAGAAATTTTTGGAAAGAATAGAAAATAAATAATTTTCTTTTTCTTAATAGAAAATTTGTTGCACCGATCATTTGAAGTTACTTTTATGTTTTCGTAGAAAACAATTTTTTGTGAGCGGAAATCAAAGATCTCAATTAGAATTTCCTGGTCATTTTTTTTCATATTTCATGATCGATTCTTTAATTTTACAAAATGATTCATTCCATACAATCTTTTAGATGTTTGTTCCAATATGAAGGCTTTTTAATGTTGAAAAAAAGCGAAGAAATCGTTTTCAATTCTTTTCCATTTCTTAATTTGAGCTTATTTCTTAAATCGGCCATTATTATATTTATGAGAAAAATGAATAGAATGCATTCCTCGAAATGAATTCATAATTTATGAAAATTAGCAGTAAATTAAATTTAACATATCATTTTCTTTTCTTTTAAAATGATAAAGAGATTTGAAAAATGATATGATTGAAATTATTACTGATATAATTGATATTACTGAAAATGATATTATAATGAACTACATGGAATATCTATCAAAAGAAAGATATGATGGATAATAACAACAAATTTCTCATGAATGTGATAATTTGATTAAGATATCAAAATAATACTTTACAATAATCATATTCATACACTACCGATAATTTTAACTAAATCATCATTTCATATATCATCAAATGTTTTTCTAACTTCTTGCTATCTTCTATTCAGTCGTAGAAAAAAAGAAGATTCGAAATCAGTGCTTTGATTTACAGTGAACTTCTCTTACCCGAAAAGATATCTTGAAGTTTGTTTCCTATAGCTTCTCTTATTTTCAACTTTTTGCTTAACTACGCTTTTAATTGCTGTTTACTTTTATCATGTACCTTAGTAGATAAGAAATCTATGAGTTTGATGAATTATTGATTTCAAAATCTTTCAAATTAAAGATTGGGATATGTTCTAAATCGCTTTGATTATGTTTTTATGAACTATGAACCTCGATTTCAACCTCAATCTTTCTGTTTCTTGCATTAATTCTATAGCTAAGAAGTAAGACAGAAGACAGAAGTCTTAATTTAAACAATTTGTACATTTGATCAAATCAAATTAACAATAATAATGATATGATATGATATGATATGATATATGATATGATATGAAATCATGTCGATTTCTACCAAAGAAAAATCAAACAAAATATGTCAAATTTTAAAACTATTCAATGAATTTGCATTATGAAGCAAATTCCATCAATTCTATTTGGTCGTTTGAAACATCAAAAAGTTTGAGCATCAAAGATCGCATAATTCTTTTAATGCTCATTGCATTAAATATGCGCCTAATATCTTTTATAAATAAAAGATCAGAAATGTTGCTTGCAATCTTTTTCGAATTCAAATTTGATTATTGTCATTAGTTGAATGGAATAGACGGTGCAAAAATTTACGACATAATTAGTTTCAATAAAATAAATATCTGGTGCAGAAATTTTTTATACACATCGTGCAACTTATTTCAGACTCTTCGGTAATTATTAACCAATTAATTAAGCAATTTCAAACATTTCTATGAATCCTAGTTGATTCAAACCAACAAATTCACCACCAGATTAATCATAATAATAATATTAGTAAAAAAAATTTTATTAGCAATATCACCACCGATTAATCATAATAATAATATTAGTAAAAAAATTTTATTAATGTACTGAAATTAAATAATTTATTTGAAGCAATGAAATTGCTTCAAATATTTTATATTTACCATAATTTTATTACGATATCATTTAACACCATCTTGTATGCCATTAATAAAACTTTTTACGAATGCAAAATGTTAAAAACCTGACGTGTTGCAAATTAGATATTAATTATTCTTCTGAAGAAGAATCCCTATTTCAGCCATCTGAAGAAATGAATCGAAATTTTAAAAAATTTGAAGCTCTCAAAATATCTTAAAATCAATTTGGAACAACGATGAATCTCTATTTCAGCGCAAGAATCCTTCTGATGGAATCATATAGAATCATTAAGCAAAAATTAATGGTTTAATAGGAAACTAGAAAAAGAACGATAGACTAAAAAGTTTTTATTAAGTTTCAAAATAAAGTTGGATGAAAAGAAATTTTCAACTATTAAACTTATCAATATTATTATAATAGAAATGTTTTTATCGTTGTTTCAACTTACTTCTCTATTAAAGTTAGTTTATGATGCTGAAATTAAAGAATCTGAACGTTACTTTGTTTCTAACAATTAAATAAACATATATTAAGATTTAAACATATACATCAATATATCACTGAAAGGAGAATGCACTGCAAAAGTTTTGCAAAAATTTCAATTACATATTGAAAAATGAAAGTGTAGAATTAAAGAAAGGAAGCATCGATATGCATATCTAAATTGACCTTTGACTTATCACTAACCACTAAAATAGCAAGCAAAATGACAATTCCAACCTCTCGCAAAATTTTCAATTCGTACACCCTCCCACAAATTGCACATATAATAAGAAACTCATTCCATAAAAAAAACCTGATATGTAACAAATTCAATGCAGACAATTTTCACTGTTTTTCTTTTAATTTTGATTTGAAATTTTAATTTTCAATCCACCTAAAAAGATATTCGTTGTATTTTATTCTCTCTTTATCTACGTGAAATATTCAACAAAAAATTTTCCGATAAATTAATTAAAAATTAAATAATACTGAAATTGAAATTTCTACTTTTCAAAGTTGATTGCATGCGAATTATAATTTTAATCAAAATTTTTAATGATTGAAATTGAGAATAAGAGACAAGGAAGGAAGCTCAAATTAAAATTTTTTGAAGGTAATTAAACTTCTGATTCATGCTAGAAACTTGATTCTGGCTCAAAGGTTACCTACCCTTTATCGCTTTATCGTTGCAAAAACATTGTTGAAGGCATAATTTCATTGTTAAATTATATTATGTTTGATGTTGCAATAATGAGGTAGAAAAATTTCTTAAATAATAATGATACACATAATAAAGATTTCAATCTTTCAAAGAAAGAAAATTTTAATGGCTAAAATTTTAATTATTATATAATTAAACTTATAAAAATTTCTTGCAATTCTTAAACTAATCTAAAAATAAGTATGCAAAGGAGTGGATGAACTACTTTATGATGATACCATAAGAAAATTAAATAATGAAATTGTAAAACAATAATAAGTTAAGCTATGAGATTCTTGCAAAAAGCTCCTCACTAAGCTTATTGTCGTTGAATTTCATTCAACAACAATAGGCTTAATTAGAAATTTATGCATCATAAAACCGGTTCTTGCTTATCAAGCATTATCATTATAACTTGTTGTTACCGTTTGTTATCAACAACATGATGTGATGAATGATGTGAAAATTCTATTATTAATGGTTCTAATTCCCTATCGAATTTTATTAATCTTTTCATGCTTCTTTTTTTGATGTTATGAAAAGTCATTTAAAAGGTAATTCATTTTAGATGAACGGCAATACTTTGGTGCATGATGATAAAGTTAATAATATCTAATATTTTACCTTTCATTGTTTTAAGATATGTATTTTAAATGATAACAGCAGCAGTCATTGTGATTGATTATCTTTCAATATCATTAAAATCCTATTACAGAAAGAGGTAATTGTAAAATACTGAAATTAAAATTAAAAAAAATAAAAATCGCCCTCTTTAAAGCTTTCTAAATATTTCAACTCTATTAAATGAATTGATGACAGATTTTATTACTATTAGTATATTAAACTTTTTTACAGTCTATATTATTGAATCCATTCTGATAGATAGTTTAGCTTTTTATGTAACTTTTTCTAATTTAGGTTTTTTAATTGAAATGTTGAAAAATAATGTTTCAAATTTTTGAAACTTTCAAATCTCAGAAAGTTCAAGAATGAGAAAGACACTGAAGTAGTTGGAGGTAAAGTTGAAAATTTTAATAATTTTTATTTAAATATGTTTTGGTGAATTATTCAGTATAAGAAGGTGTTAGGTTATAATTTTCTTCATAAATATATGGGATTACATTAATATGAATAATTAAATTTGAACAATAATAATTAACTTTTACTTAAGTATGTTTTGGTGAATTATTCAGTATAAGGAGGTGTTTTTTATAATTATATGGGAATTTATACAATAATATAAATAATTAAATTTAAATAACAAGAATTACAATCATAATTATATAAAATTATAATCTTAATAGAAGTTTTGCGCAGCAAAATTATTAAGCCTTTGACGACCAAAGTTGAAATCAATGATTAAATTTCAAGGAAATTCATTTGATGATGAAAATTTGCATTAGAATGATTAGAGTTCATATTAAAAAATTTTTGAATGATTTAGAATGAAAAAAATTATTACAATTATATTTTCTGTGAATCATTGAAATTATTGAAATGGAAAATTACGACAAAATAAGCTGATCTTTCATATCATCATATTATTTTGCTGTTGTTGTTGTTTGCAAACATTCTTTTAATCCCATAAATAACGAATTTATAAAAATAAAAATAATGGGAAATCATCATCAATTAAGAAAGATTTGTTTTTCACAGTGAAATGATTGCGCTATTAATTAATTAATTAAGCAAAAGATAAAGAACAATATGTTATAATGATCAATTCAATAAAAAGTCTTTTTTCAACATTTTCAACACTTCCGCACTTCGGCATTTTTATCAACTGATAAATTATTTTTATCTCTAAATATCTATGCTCTCAGTAGAATTAGAAAGTTGAAATTTGCTAAATCCAATTTTTTGTGGAAAAATTTATTTTGAAAATTCATTTTATAAACATCAAAAAAATTTGATACCTCGAATATTTGACTCGTCCAATTACCTCTTTCGTCATTCAAAAAGATAGTTTGTTCAAATAGTCGATTTAATTTCGAATTGATAAGATTGAAACTGAAAATCTATCATGTTAATATTCATTATCAGTAAGTAAATATATTTTATTTCGATTAGTATAATTGAATATGTATATTTGTCGATGTTGAAATTAAAATTTTGAATTAACACAAATAGCTCGAAGTTTATTAATGAAATAATTATGTTATCAAATATCGCATAATAATACAATCAAAAAGTTTTTGCATTAATTAATTTAGAAGAATTAAAAATTGAAAAAATTTATTACAATCAAGCTCTGTTTTAGATTCATTGATATTCAAAGCTATTTTACATCTTTTGAAAATTTCCCTATACGTTGGCATGCCAAAACGGGAGAGTATTTCTGTCAGGAACGACAGTAAAATAACAAAATGCAAATATTTTTAATAGAGTTGGAACAGGGCAACGATATGACATATTTTTAATGATAAATTTGAATATGAATATAACTTTGAACAATTTTAAAGTTAGATATGCAAAAATATAGTACATAATTAAATTATAATTAGTTATAATACATAATTAAATTATAATTAAATTCATAATTAAATTCCTTTATAAAAATAATTAAATTCGTCCATTAAAAAAAATCTTAGAGAAAATTAAGACTGAAATAAAAGTTTTCTATACTATTATGTATTCATATTGCAATCTTACAGATAAAAATTAATCGTAAAAAATGTGCAATTTGATAGTTTGAACGTTGAAAAAATAAAAGGGTATCATAAAGTTCTAAATTTATTTGAGAAATACTGATAAGCGACAACGATCTTAACTATCATTCCTTTCTTCGAAATTCTCTTATCAGTTTATAATATCAGCAAGCGGTGATGATTCATTCATAAAAGGTTATCAATTCAACTGTCTGAGCATTTATGAAGAAGATTATTTTTGCAGAAATTTCAGTCTAACGGATGTTTGTCTATTTTTTTGTTGGACTGCTATATCAATCTATTTTTTATTAATAACAAAAATATTTTCTAGCTTGTCGAAAATATTTTCATAACGTATATTTTCAAACTTTTATAATTTATTGAAATTAGTCCTTCATCATTTTTCGCCAATCAACAGTTCAGATTGCTGATTGTATTTCAAATATTATTTGACAACAACATTGATATGCTTTTTTGAAATATAATAAATTTATTTATAGAATGCAATAAAAGTAAATTATTTAATTTTCTTGTGTAAAATATTTGAAATAATATTTTCTTTATTTTTATAAAGAGCCAATTTTGAACTGTAAACTAGATAGCTTATGGAAAAAAGTTTACTGTCTAAATTATAATTTCCTTTTGAGAATAAACTAAAAAGTAAGCCATTTCTAATATCAGGCTTAAAAGATTTATAGCGTTGTATATTATCATGATTTCGTTATCTTAACACCTGTGGTAGTTTAATTTATTCATGATAAAGTTAATAAAATTTGCATAAATAAAGTAATTTATTACTAATTCTCGTAATCATATTTGCATCATATTTTTGTAAACAAATTTGCATTACTGAAATCAATATTATTTTTGTCGTAATTTTCGAACCAACCGATCAAATAAAAAATGAATCGTCAGATACTAAGAATTTTTAAATTCATTTAAATTCCAAAATTAGAGAGAAATAAACAAGGCTAATGTAATGAACAGAAATAGTAAGTGTTGTTCATAAGGTGAAAGCATTATGAACATCCTATTTAAAGAAAAAATTTTAATTATCTCATGAATTTTCATTATAAAAGAGTATGATAATAATACTGTAATTGTGAAATCGTAATATAATACTTTATGTGTATTTCAGGATGATAAAAAATCTCGAGAAAATGAGAAATATTTTTTGTAGTGATGATTTATTATCTAAACATGCAATTTATTAATTCTTAAGCCTGAAATTATAAAATGTAAATTAACTTATGAAGAGAAAATCTTTTATCTATGAGTTCCATTTAATTATTATAACTATTGTGATGATAGATAATATCATCGTAAAAATTAAACGGAATATCTTTGTTGTTTACTCAAATGATTTAATTGATCTAAGCTCATATATAATTTTTTTTAGCTTATGTAGAAATTAGAAAATCATATATCTCTGAGTTGCATTTAATTGATCTAAGCTCATATATAGTAATCCTCAAATTTACACTGTTAAAAAAATTGATGAATTTCATTTAAAGATCGATATATTTCACGATATGACAAAATATGCTCTTTGTTTATCATCTCTAAATCTTATATTTTTGCAACACTAATGTTGGAATATTGAATTAGCGATATAATATAATTTAAATGAAAATATACGAATCACAATAAGTGAGGAAAATATGTAAGATTAATTGAATTAAATTTATTCGAATAATTTTGCAAAATTTATTTATTGATAAAATTTGTTATTTCATTTTTTGGTAAGTTTTAAATTTCAATCATAAGATTTTACTAATTTCCATGAAATGTGCGTAATATTTATATTAAAATTAGAAGTTGAAAAAAATGACTCAACCATTTTTTTCTTTTTATGTTTGTTTGGATAAAGTTGTACTGCAATAATGATATTCATGCAACAGGCTTTTGTTGTATTTTCAACAGTGATTATTCATTGGATGGCATTTGTTGTATTGCAAAATCTATTATCTTTGATATATAATCATTTTATGCTCGATGAATTGAAATTCATTATTTAGAAGTGCATTTCATTATTGAAATTCATTAATTCATTATTTGAAATTCATTATATTTTATATTCAAATAATATAACAATAAATGAACATTACTTTCCTATGTATTGATATTCATTCAACAATAATTTATCATGCAAGAGAATTGCTAGTAAAGTTTAGGACGTAGAATTTGAACCAAAGGTCACATGATGAATGCTACGAAACTATGAATCATATTAGAGTAAATCATTGCTTTCCTTGTTGTTGCATATCAGTCTGCAGCAAAATGCCTTCGCTACAAATTGATAACTAAAACAGGTCCCGGGGAGATTTGAACTCCCGTCGCAGGATTCAAAGTCCTGAGTGCTAACCACTACACCACGGGACCTCACAAGTTCGGGAATTTCCTATTTCTATAAAATATTATTTCGTGTAAAATGTTCACTTTAAAAATTTGGAACAGTGAACAGAGGAAATCTCTGACATCCGCTCGTATCTATCACGATCTTTACGACATCCATCATTTCGTAATATTCCATTTTCGAATTTGCGCGTTGATGTAAAAGATAGCACGTCCATTTGTTTGCGATAGTTTAATCTAATCTGGCTACTATTGCATAAGTTGGAAAGTATCGAATGTTTTCGACATTATCTTAAGGAAAGAAACGGATTGAGTTTGAAAATCTCATTGTATTACGTTCTTTACGGATTAGGAGAAGCAACAAAACACATCCAAAATTTGCCTCAAATTTATATGGTCTTGTGGAAAGTTAATTGTCGTCTAACACTTCCACAAAGATCAGTTTTACAAACCTAGCATTTGGAATATTTCAAATACACTGATCAATTTGATATCTTACAAAATCGAATTTTCGCTAACATCTGTTAATGACTTATTTTTTAATGAAATTTATATAATAAATATTTGATTTAATAATTTCTAGCAAAATCGGAAACAGATGAAGAGCACTGTATGTGCAGGTAATGTAAATATAAGATATAGCAATATATAATACATTAGCTCTTCCGCAATATAATTAAGGCAAACATTACAGTTTCAAATTTGCGCAGTAAAGGTACACTTATTGAGAGCAGTACACCGGTTGAGGTCGCGTCAATTAATTAATTTAGGAAATGTTCAAAGTGACAATGTCATCCATTTAGAAGTCTCATTGATTTTTTAGTAAAATTTTAAAACATTTCCGTAACATTTTAATGTTTCTGTTAAATTCTTCCTTTCACTCCTCCTACTCCTCTTTACCTTTTCTATTTTGATTGTTTTAACAAAAATAAATTTAATGTCATTAAAAATTTCATCTCTCAATTACTTTGTATTTCAGACAAGTTCTCTGAAATTTTTCTTCCTATAAAATTCATAGCTTAACAATTTAATTTCATTGCTAAACAAACATCAATATTATCTTTAATGATAATTTAATTAAAAAATAATAATAATTTATAAATGTGTGCTGGATTTTATTTTTAAACGAAATACATCCGTCCCTTAAATTTCTCCGAAACCGTAACATATTCCTGTAATGTTGCATCGCTATTGCTCATTATTGATTGTACGCGACCATCCTGAAAAACGAATTGGAAATGATCAATTTTTTAACTTTAACCAAATTCTCATCATCTGGTGGAAGGGATATCAAAAGTCTTAATTACAGGTTTAATTACAATTGAAAAGTTGCATGACAATTTCTTTTTCCTTGAATGCTAGATGTAAATGTTGTGTATATAATTTGAATTCAAATTTCTTTTCTTTCAATTATTCATATTATCAATGAGTTGTTGGGTGGATACAGCTGAAGAAATAATTTCAATCAAAAATTCCTGACAAATTTACCGATATCTGTCATTATCATTCTTGTAACAAAATTTAAATAAAATCAGATTTATAAAGAAAGTTTTTCAAAATTTATTGTACAAAAATTTACTTTGATACTTTCTCCATCTGAAAGATCATCATCATCAATAATGTGTCGTAAACTCGTAATACGTCCTGCCGAAATTAATGATGATAGAGATGAGGAAATAAGTGAAGCGACATCTGATATTGCATCTGATTCGTATACACCCCTAAAAGCAGCTAGCTATTAATTTCTGGTAAAGCACAATCATTAAAATTAGCAATGAATTATTCCAATTATTAAATTGAAAAATTTAAAAATTCACATGGCTTTCTATTTCTCTTCATGTCCTCAGTTTCATTTAAATATTGCTACGAAAAAAATAAATGAAAAATACATTTTTCGTTTAAGATGGCATCGTGCACGTGTAGCTACAAGATCAGCGTAGTAAACAGGTGCAGGAATAGAAACTGAACGAGCACAACGCCCATATGTGTGGCACATACTGAATGTTATTGACTGAAGTTCATCTGATGTGAACTTCGAATCATCCCAAAGAACATGATAATGTGCTGGCCTGGAAGTACCCTGAAAATCCCTATAATGATTTTGCAAGTTTTTGTGAAATAAGTGTGACTTCTGATTAATTTCTGGATACACTTGTATACATTCGAATGATTCTAGAATTCTGATATGCATGATAAATTGTAACTCATCGATTCGATTAATATTGCATCGAAGTTTCTGTGATTCTTAAACTATTTGAAATTTTTTCAAATTTAAACTTTAATTTTGATTGTTCTATGAATTAATTTTGACTGAATGACTTTTTCTTGAAATGCAATGTAAAACAAATAATTTGAAATAATAATAGTTGAAAAAATTGAATGAAATAAAAAGAAAACATAATACATCACCTGGATACCGAAATGTGAGCATAGATAGAAGTCAAAACCTTCTGGTGAAACAATTCCTGTATCGACTATTGTACCTGGTGGAATATTTTTCGCTTTACCAACTGCATCACGTGTATACTTGCAAAACATCCGCGCATGATGACGTTTCTGTACGACGATATATGTAATTGGTGGTCGATAATCCGGCGATAGCATCAAGCATGCCGTACGAATACCTTGCATTTCTTCACGTAAAACCTGCAATTCCATCCCACTTTTTTTAAAGATTGAGAAAGAATTATACTTTCATAACTTTTTTCAAACTGCTGGATATCATATCACGTATAATTTAAAGCAAAACACCGATCATAATTCATTTGTTCCTCTATAAAGCTATCTGATAAATTCTACTACCTCGCTGAATTGTCCTTCGGAAACTCCGTCACGATAAACGATAATACGAATTGGTTTTTGATGTGTTGCTTTGTAGAAACTGACAAGACGTTCACGGACAGCATCCAGAAGATAAACAACTGATTCGCGACATTTACGCTGGATTTTGATATTTGCACCGTATGTTTGTGGATACAAGTCGAGATTGGCAACAATCTATAAATGAATTTGTTAGTTATTCTAATAATCTCATTTTAAACTAGGAAAAATAATTTTCAAACTGGAAAAAGAAAAATCATGAAATATACCGCCGCAACAGATGGAACGTTCTGCCGTTCTTCATGCTGTGTCGGATGCGTTACATCGATTCCGACAATGAGAGTTGGAACATCGATAAGATACTTTTGAGTAATCGAGTTGGCAATAACACGTGAATTAATGCCACCTAATTTCATGTTCATTTTCAAAATCATATTACAACATGTGGCAGGTGATGGACGTATGATATTTTTCATCAGAATGCACTGCGACATTATTCCATGTATCATGTCACTACATTCCTTTACTGTCACTGAAAGCATGCTAATTAATTACACAAAATTATTCTATCATTTTCAGGAAATGATTACGCTCAATAAGCAAACTTTGAATTGCTCAATTTAAAATAGTATTTCATTGTTAGTAAAATACAAATTTAAAATGCCTTGAATTTGTTCAACTTTCTTACCTTTCTAATTTTTCACAACATCTTCGCTTTCTCTTAACTATTCTATCCAATGTATAGTTTGTTTTAATATAATTTATTTGTCCGACTTATTTGTAATAGACTTTGTGCTACAAAACTTGTTCTTCGGGGTGTAAAAATTTTTGGGATTTATTATGAAATTTGAAATAAAAGTAAAGAAGTAAAAGAGATTCAATTAAACTAAAATTTCGCGTTAATGCAGAAATAACTGAAATGAACAGTATGACCAACTAACTGTAAAGGTCAGCATTTTTGGCTGGCAATACAACGATGACAAGATCACATGCAGTCCCTGTTTGTTTATATTCGGTGGCAATTTCATTGAACAAAATGACAATATCTTCTTTAGTACGACCATACTTTACGAGATCAGGCCAATTTGGGAATTCCATTCCCATCTGATTAGCTTTCTGTGTGAGTGCTTGACAGAAAGCTCTAAATTCGATTTTCTTATTTATTGAGCCAAAAAAGTAATCGAAATATATTATAATAAGCAGAAGGAATCCTGGAAATGCTACAGACAGTACAAATTAATTTCTTGTATTACTGAAGGAAAACAGTGATGGAAGGAATCTGAAGCCTAAAGATAAAGTTGTGACTGAAAACTGACTGTAAATGATTTTGCTCTCGTGGACTGACAAGTGCTATCATGGAATAGCTATGACAGCTAGCCGGTAAATACAACTGCTGATTATCCATTGACCAAGTTCCATCTTTTGGTGTAACAACTGGATCCTAAAATAGTTCAGATTCTTGAAATGAACTTCTCAATGTTTTTAAGAATTCGTTCAAATGCAAAATAATGCTTTAAAAAGATGTAACTACTGCTAGATAATTCTAAATAAATTTTATGAAAATATTAAACATAAACCATTTTACGATTATTTTCGCCATAAAGGATACGAGGTGGTGTTAAAACACGAGCAATCGTTTCAAACATTTTCGGATTAATTTGTAATCCGAATTCACGTAAGAATGGATCATATTGAAAGCCAGCTTGCTCACATAGTGATGAAATACGTTGTTCACGTGAAATTGCATCAACAGCTGCTGCCTGAAACATTTTCAACAAGGAATTTTCCAATGATTTAGATACAGAATATAAATATAAGTAAACTGCCAATACTGTTAAGATTATAAAAATACTAAAGTGACATCAAAATATCACATTTTAGTAAACTTCCAATAAAAAATTTAAAAACTAAACATTTGAAAGAAGATTTGAAATAATTTGGAAATGAGTCATACGTACTCGAATAATAGCTGATGTTTGCTTATCGTTCAATTTCTTGTTATATTTCTGCGGTGTATCAAGCATACAAACTTCCAGTGGAAAATAGATATTACGTGTTATTGGACCAACATGAACGCATGGCAGTTTCGGATATTTTAACTCACTATAACGTTCACTAAAATAATCAGCTACTGTCATCCGACGTTCATTACCATCTTCATCTTTACCTTGAAACCTAAAATATATTTCATTTTTAACTGCCAACAAATATTTGACTTTTTAAATATGTATTTCAACTAAGCAAAGAATAATTTTAAAATGCACAAAATCGTTACGATACATCAATATATTTAGCTTATATATCATATTATTGAAAGAATAAAAGAAGCTAACTAAATCTGTTATTTCACGGTAAATAACTTTTAATGAGAAATAATATAAATATCATGCCAAAGTTGATCAGCTGGAAGTTGAAGGCTGTTAATACGGTAAACGCGAATGATACCAGCACGATGTGAAATGCGTACTTTAATTCCTTTTACCGCATCACCGAAAATTTTTGATTCATGGCTACTTAACGAGAAATCTTTGTGCAACTTTTCTGGCTGAAAAATTTTCAAACTTTTTGAAAAATATTAAGGTAAAATATTAAGGTAAAAAAATATATTAAGGTAAAAAAGGAAGATATTTTTATGGCAGAAAATTGAAAGTATAAAATTTTTCATTATCAATTTTTGAATTCTACAAAATGAAAAATTCAACAAATTTGATCATTTGACATTTCCTCTATTCAAATGACAAATAATGAAAATATAATTTCAAAGATCAAATTTTGCAAAGTTTCCTTTTCAAACAAAATTAGATGCTATCAATTGTTGTGGTAAAAGAACTAATACTACGAAAAATAATACAGAAAGTGCTCCTTCGATGTAATCATGATAGCTATAATCACGATATCGATTATTCATATAACGTGAGTAAGATGACGAATTTCTGTAGCCGCTACCGTAACGGGATCTACCACGTGTGCAACGTGTGCTACTTGACAAATTATCGCGATGATCTTCCTTAGAAATTAACCGACAATAATGGCTCGATTTTTCATTTAACACTTCACACATAAATTGAACCAGCGAAATATGCGCTTTATAAAATGCTGTATGCGTCACTGTAATAAAATAGTTTTCCTCTCTCGATCCGGAACGATACGGAATATATATTTCGTTATTTTGGTTTCTTGACACATTTTTCAAGCTTTTTTTATGCAGTTTTTCACTCATGGATCGTGGATAATTTTTTAATGAATATTGAATTTCATATAATTTGCGAAACACATTCAAAAGGTTTTATATGATATAAAAATTGACTGACCGTCAATGTTAAGGAGCGCTTTCCAACCAGCTGCTACATGTGCAGAGGAGAAAAATCCGGTCCACATCTCCTTGCCACCCTCTAAATCCAATGCTGTCGCACCATTCACGGGTAAGCGATAGCTCGATGATTTATAAACAAAAAAATTTGCAGAATTTCTGAAAGAAATTTAGACATTTTAAAAATGAAAATTAAATTCAAAATGTCTTCAGTGAAACGAATGTCATTAGTTTACTGATCATTTAAATTTAAAATGAAAGTAAAGTTAAAGGTTTAAGTTGTTTTCGAGATAGAAATTCAAAGAATATTTTTTAACCAAAATTTCAATGAATAAAAACAAGAATTAAACCGAACTCAATATATGGGCAAGTAAGTGATTGACGAAATACAATATCAATAATTTGAATTGGAGTTAGAATTCTTTCATCTAAATTATTTGTTCTTGTGCGCCGCATTTCAATAAGTACAGGACCCACACATTGGAATGAGACTGCACAACGGGTACGTTCTCGTGAATCCTTCGCCAATGAAACATCACTCTCCAGCCGAATCTATAGAGCATCTTACATTATTTGTTTGATTAAATCTTAAATTTAATTATAAAGAAAAATTGACTTACAGATGGACGTCCTTCAGGAAATTCAATACGTGTTGGAGTATACAATTGATGCGCTCCATCATATGCAATGGCATATTTATTTGGGAAATATTGGCCATGATCTACTATCACTTTCCAAAATATCGCACGATTTTCCTCCCTGTATTTTATTTTGCTGAGATTATGGATAATTTTTGGATTGATAGGCTAGAGAATTTTAGGATTGATAGGCTTCATATTGATAAATTTAAATAGAGAATTTTAGGATTGATAGGCTTCATATTGATAAATTTAAATAGAGAAGTAAAGTAAATATTGTTGCGAAGAAAGGATGAAGTAGGTTTGCTTCTCTCTAAGTATGGGTGAATTAAAATACATTTATCGAAATTCACTTTATCGTATCAAAAATTATCGGCATATTTTATTAGAGAATATTAACTAAACATTCAAACGATGCTTTCGCTGTAAACTTACGAAACGGCAATTACTTCAGCTAACCCTATCAATCAATCAAAACTATTAAAGTAAAAGGACAAATTAGGCTTTGCAATATTTGTTTCAAAATTTTTAGAAAAAAAACGATATGAACCTGTCTAATTTTCTGGATCCTGGATGATGAACTTCTACATAATATTGAATAACCATCATATTATTATTAACAAGTCCGACTTCAAAAAAATTCGAACGAACTGCTATTTGACGGCCAGCACGACCAATATCTGGTCGAGAAGCCATCTCGCGAAGATTCATACATGCTAATTCCTTAAATTTTATAATTGAAAATGTTTTCTATGATAATTAATTTTACCATTTGGTTCTTGCACATTAGTGACAAAAAATTTGACTAGATTCAAAAATATTTTAACACCTGAAGTAATGGAGGAGAAAGATCACGTGGTGAACCACTAAGACCCGATCCACATCGTGATCCCGATGACTGCGAGCTTTTACGCTGTGAACCGGATAAATGCTCCGGTGAATGAATTCCTGAAATATTTTTTTGCATCTCTAAAATTTCCGCATAAAAAAAGGCAGTTAATGTTGATGTTGAAAGTCAATAAAATCGTTCCTCTCATAGAAATTCAATAATCTGCTTCAATTTTCAAGATGAAAAGTTGTAGTAACGAATCAAACCATTATACGAACCAGAATCGCCCGCATCCCTATCACAATTCCCCATATGATAACACCCGCGATCTTCGTATTGAATATGCCGCCGTACAGTACAGTATGAATAAATACAATGAGATTTTCATCTAATTTCTCCTTATTTATCAACCATTATTTCAATTCATTTCTTAGTAAAATTTCAATCAAAATTTGCATTAATCAATAAATTGTGTTTCATCCATTATTAACTATATGCTACCAATACTTTCAAATGCTCTTTATGCATAATATTTTTACAAAAAAATCTTAGATTCAGAAAAAGGTAAAGTTTTGATGACAGGTAAATTAAAACATCTCTTTCATAACATTCATAATAACTACAGTTTACATCACTTCCACGTGAATTACATCGTCTTCATTATAGAACTATGTTCTGCAATTACTGTTAATTAAAATCTTCCCTAACGCTTATAATAACTGCAGCTAACGTCACCTTCACGTGAATTATGCTGTAGAACCTTGTACTGAAATACTGTTAAGATCTTCCATAACGCTCATAATAACTACAGCTTACGTTACCTTCACGTGAATTATGCTGTAGAACTTTGTACTGAAATATTGTTAATTAAAATCTTCCCTAACGCTTATAATAACTACAGCTTACGTTACCTTCACGTGAATTATGCTATAGAAAACTATCTGTTGGGAATACTGTTAATTAAAATCTTCCATAATATTCATAATAGTTACAGCTTTCATCACCCACCCTTGCACTAAACTGTAAAACTATATGCTGGGAATACTATTAATTAAGAAAAGTCAAAAAAAGTCTTTCACAATGATCAAATTAGAACTTCAATTTTTTGTTAAGAAATGATAGAATGTTTTATCTTTTTAAAAAATTCCTCACAATGATGATGGCATCAAGAAATGATAGAGTCAATAATTTCAGATTAACATATATAACATATTTCAGGTTAACATATATAACTACTTTTTCCTTATTAAACAAATTGCAAATTAAGCAACGGAACAGAATCATTCAAAAATTCTTTTTAATAATTTAAAAGAATTAAGTACAAGCAAAAATAAATGGAAGAAAATTGGAACTTAAATATAATTGTTTTAAAAAGTTTTTGAATTAGAATTGCATACTGCTAAATATAAATGATATATGAAATAAAAATTCATGAAATCGAATGATATAATAAATTATTTCAAGAATGGTGCAAAGTTTGCTCACATCTTTTGCTTGAATAACATTTCATGAAAATTAACTGATTGGTTCAAAATTATTAATGTCTATCTAAATTCTGATCTATTCAATCAGTTTTCTCGAGTACAAAATATTTTATTTTACTTTTTTAAATAGAAGTTTTTTGGACTCCAATTAAAGATAGCAAAGAGATAATTCAAATTATATTTTTTCATATAGGAAAATTTTGATGAAAAATAAATAAAACTTTTTTCAACATTTCAATTTAAGATAGCAAAGATGAAATTCAAATTATATTTTTTCACATAGGAAAATTTTGAAGAAAAAAGTCGCATTGACAGAGTGATCAGAAAAATGATCGATCAGTTCAAATTATTCAATTAATTTAAGAAATGACTAGCAAAAAATCTATTCTAATTTTTCTTCAAGAATTCAAGGTAATTTAGAATTTTATTTTTCATTACCTTTTGGGTCACCTTTTAATAGGTGTGCTTCTTTTATGGAAATCTTTGCATTATGATAAATCAGATTCTTAACTTTATTTGATAGTATAAAACTTTTCATGCAATTCTAATGGTTCAGTGTAGTGGTAGTAAATGAGGAAATTAAAATAATTAAATCATTCCGTCACTTTTAGATGATTTGAGATCTCTGATTGTAGTCATTCATTTCTAACTTTCACTAAATTGCTTTCATATGCATAAACATTATAAACAAGTTGGAATATGCAGTGGTCAATAATGAGTGGTCACTTGATAGTCAGATGACAACGAGGAAAAGGTAGAGCGGAAAAAGAGACGTTAAAGAAACTGCAGTATATGTGGGAAGTAGCAGGAAGAGATATTTTCGTTCCATTTCACAGATTTTCAAGGTTATAAATAAATAAAATTTTTTAGGCATACAAGGTAGGCATTTTAAAATTTATTGCTTTTCGTAGTAATTAGTTTTAATTAGTAACGGGCATAATAAGAGAGTTTATTCATTCCGTAAAGCTTCCATATTCCAATGGAAATTATAGAAGCTATCGGGAAGAAATTGCGGGAGTTTTAGATGGTGCTCTCAAAATTATGGTCGTCACTTCTGCAGACTACAATTATTTGCGGACTGCAATTAGCGGTATGACCATCATAGGTTTTGGTGCTTTATTCTTGAATAGCGCTTCGGGATTTACATCTTCTTTGTTTGCCTGAAATATGTCAATAGATTAAAGCACAAAATGTGGTAAGAGTATTTAAATTTTCCAAACTCCCTTTTTACTTATCAATCAAACAGTTCAAAAAAAAAAGAGATACCTTAGCAGCAACGAAAACCATTTTATCAACTTTAGCACCACCATTTTGGCGTAAAATATCGATAGCCAATATTTGTCCAGGATCGACAAACGAATAGACTGGATTTACACGGTATATGTTGTTATCGGAACACTTCACCTGAAATTTATTATAGAAATTCTTTGTTTTCCGTAAATGAAATTTATTACCAGAAATTTAAAACAAAACAAAACATCCGAATTAATAATATAGATGTATAAATAAGATGTAGAATGCAACGGAAAATAACCTTTATTGCACGGCGTGTTTTGGTATGATTTGAGATTAGGACCTGTCGAAAACCGCCAGATGTATCCCAGCGTAGCTCCTTTGGCTTCATTCTCAGATCACGACGATCTAAACAGTTTCTTGGCTTATTTTTAGGAAAAAATTTCATACTTTCAGTTTATTTTTAAATTTAGAAATTGCCGTAAATTTTGTGAATATTGTTTTCTTGCAAAATGCACTGATGAATTTCCTGAGGCTTAATTAACGTTAATGAAATCATTTATAAATTATTTAAAAATTCGGCTGCTTGAAGTTATTTTTTTAACCATTCTAATGATTCATCATTATCACTAATCATTAATACAAGAAATGTTACTAATTCATTAATGCCAAAAATATTCTTTGAAATTGATTAAATAATTTACCTCCTGATTGTTTTGTTTCCGATAATTTCTAAACAAATAATTTATTCAGTAAAAATTTATGATGAAATTTGTTATTTTAGATTGATTTAGAATTTCGAATTTCAAGTTCATCATTTAATTTTTGTCTGATAATTCTTATGAAATAAACAAAATGTCTTTAATTAATTTAATTCAACTGATCTAATCGATAATACAGTGATCCATTATATTTCATATGAAAGTTATACGAAAATTACTGATAGATTTTTTTTTAATCTCAAATTCAGTGCCACTATTTATAACTTTCGAAAAATGGTATATTTTAATTAAATTAATAATAATTTTTTGTGAATATCTCACAGAGGAATATAACATCATAATAATGGGATAACGGAATTAGTTTGTACAATCGCACCTCAGCGGACGCTCCACTTACTGACAGTGTTTCAGTATGTTTAGTTGGCTGAAATAATTTACTAACTATTAATTTTTAATAGAATGTAAATTACAGTCTGTCAACAAAAATGGAGGAGTAAATTTGCCTTTAAAGGAATGTTTCGATGTTTGCGTGATTTAGTGAGCGATTTAGATGATCGTGATCCACTTGTACTATGTGTTTTTTGTGTTTTTGATGATGTAATTTCCTTTTTGCTTCCCGACTTATGATTTCTTACTTTCACAAGTCCTCTCTGAGAATTTCTTGCCACGTTTATCTATAGTATTAAAATTTCAATTTAAAAAACGTTTGCTATTAAATTTAGCATAGGAAACAATCTGCTCACTCAAAATCTTCCAGCTAAAAGTTAATGATGCCATCTATGGATGAAAGTACTTATCAGAAGTTTGATTAAGTCACATTCAGTATATGGTAAAGTATGGTATAATTTGCTTCTGATTACTTGATGTTTCGGTCGTGAATTCCCACATGAAACTAAGGTTGCTAGGGTAACAACCAATGGTAGAACCACAAAACTCAACAGCATTTCCACAGTATTAAACACTCCCATTTATTTAACTCCTAAATTATGCCCAAATTTCGGAACAACCGAACTTGATCAGCTGCACGCCAATAGAGATGACAGTACGAGTGATTGAATGCTTTATATTCACCTTTATATACATTACTGATTTGCATGCACTTTTATATACATTACTAATTTGCATACACCTTTATATACATATATTAATTTGCATGCATCATTATATACATTATTAATTTGCATACACTTTTATATACAGTATTAATTTGCATGCATCATTATATACATTACTAATTTGATGCACCTTTGTATACAGTATTAATTTGCATGCACCTTTATATACATATATTAATTTGCATGCATCTTTATATACATTATTAATTTGCATGCTCCTTTATATACATTACTAATTTGCATATACATTACTAATTTTCATGCATCTTTATATACATTATTAATTTGCATGCTCCTTTATATACATTACTAATTTGCATACACCTTTATATACAATACTAATTTGCATGCATCTTTATATACATATATTAATTTGCATGCATCTTTATATACATCACTAATTTGCATACACCTTTATATAAATATATTAATTTGCATGCATCATTATATACATTATTAATTTGCATACACCTTTATATACATATATTAATTTGCATGCATCTTTATATACATTATTAATTTGCATGCTCCTTTATATACATTACTAATTTGCATACACCTTTATATACATTATTAATTTGCATGCACCATTATATACATTACTAATTTGCATGCATCTTTTAAACAATTATAAATTTGCATAAAATTTGTATAACTTTAAGAAAATTAATTAAAATCATTTTCATTTTTTCTTGTATTCAATTTTTGAAAGCTAATTTTTTTGGTACCTCATTGATTCCATTTATAGTATGCTTTAAATATTAATTTAAGCTATCGCAATTATCATTACGTTCACGAGATATTTACAATAACACTTCAGTATCTCAAGGCTCATTTATCTCGTTTCATTTATCAACTTTAATTCTCCAATTTGATGCTAAAATAATTTCGTGGAATATTTTTAAAAAGGCTTAGCTTTTAAGGCTTTGTAATAAGTCGTAATTATGCAACTTTATTACATGACGCTTTTATCATTTTCTTCCCAGCTATTAATTTAAAACAGATAAACAAAAATTGGTCGGAAAAATATTGCTTTTAATTCTGTTTTATTCAATTTTACTGTAATACTTTTAAAATCATCTAGAACAATTGAATGTAATTTATTCATAGGATATCATAATTGATAGAAAATGCAGAATAAATTGATTGTATCATTGATAATTGTACTACTCTGTAGGAATGTTAACTGTAAGAGGTAGCACAAGCATCGGATAAGTTGAAAATTTGTTGAATAACTTTGAAGCATCTTCATCACTTTTTTCTGCCTAAAAGAAAGAATCAAAAAATAGAAGAAATAAAAGAATGAAATTGCAAATTTAATATTATGCAATTTATATATGAATTTAGAAATATTTTAATAACGTAAAACTGCAGGAATTTCCGAACAGAATAATAAATAAAATAAAATGGTTGAATTTAAATTAAAAAAAAAAACCATACCTTAGTCCAAAGGAAAAGCATTTTATCAGGTTTAGCACCACCATTCTGACGAACGATATCAATATCGATCATTTCACCTGGCTCAACAAAGGTAAAAACACGACCGACACGATACAAATAGTTATCAGAGCATTTTATCTGCAAAACTTTTACTACAATGATTAGCAAAACATCAGTGTTTTATTACGGTATGCAAGAATTTGAAAATGGACTTTTAAGTATTTTAAAGGAAGTTTTTATTTCATCTGAAATTTGCTTAATTTCAAATAAAACGAAATTTTCTGATACATGAAAATACAGGAGATATAATGAAATTGGAATCACTGAGTAAATCATAATAAACAAGTAAAAGATAGTGATAATAAAGAATGATAAGAATATCAGTTATGATATCATTGTGATAGTAGTAAGCTCAAGAAAGGAAAAAAATTAGTCTTTTTTTAAAACTACCACACCTTGATCGCTTTCCTTTCATCGCTATGATTAGTTAAATATACTTTTTGTAAACCACCCAAAATATTCCAATTTAATAATTTTGGTTCAATCTTCATTCCTTCTTTTGCCTTCTCTATAATTATGTTTAAGGTAAGAAATGAAAGTAATTCTATTTTACCTCACCTTTTCCCTATTTGAAATGTTTCAAATGAGAGAAGTTGTATTTAAATAAAAATCGCGGATAAATTAAAAAATAAAATACCGTCTATATTGTAAGTAATCGCATTAGTTGTTGAAAGCTGAATCTAAAATATATTATACCTTTGCAGGTTCAGATGATTAATTATAAATGAAGGATATGATAAAAATCAAACCATATATTTCACGATTAAAATTCAATTTTAACTTATGATTTTCAACGAGATATTTAAAATTCATTTTTCAACCTGATCATTATCTTTTTTGCTGAATTGCCCTTTATTTCTACCTAATTGAAATTGGTATTAAAATTTCGAATTTAAATAGTAGTAGCATAAATTTCAAATTCTTTTATGATTTCAGTGATTTTATTATAATCAGATTTTTTAGAAATATTTCAACAAATTCAAAGAACAAGAAATTTTCTTTGGTCAATCCATGGTCATTTTGCATTTATAAATATATCAAGTGTATCAAGCATATCATCAAACTTGGAATTATGAATTATTGTCCTGCTAGAACTTTAATCAGGTTCGTAAAAAAAATTCAACTTTTTAATAATCTAATTTTATATTGGGCAAAAAGAAAGAACACCTTATGGAACCTTTGCCATCTGCTGCTTCGTGATGGCGTAGGTGAAGCTTTTTCGATAGATTTGGTTGATAATGATGATTCACTATCTCGTGATAACTTCTTCGATTTTTCCCCTTTCAATTTCAATTTCGATAATTTCTGTGCTGTTCTCATACTCTAAAGAGAAAGCAGAATTTTGAGTTGATTTCTTCAAAATTTCCAAACAAAAGTTTTCAACAATTATCGAAAGAAAAGAACAGAGATATTATTTTCATTAAATTTTTACTCATTATAACTAGGTAATCTAATTGATCATAGAACTAATTAAAATAACTAATTAATCATAACTAATTAATCACTAATCATAGAAATTGATTACCTGTGTAGAACTTGTTTTAGTTTTAGTTCGTGATTTCTTTCCGGTTTTTTTCACTTGACTACTGCTACTTGTCATATCTTTCTTATCGTTTCTTATTTTCTTTATTGGCTAAAAATTTTTTCCTGAACTGAAGAACTTTTGAAATCGGAAATATAAGATACTAATTAGTTGAGATTTCTTTTTACAAGGTTGAATAAAGAAAAGAATACTTATGATGGTAATCGTTATCGATTGATTGAATTGAACAAATGGCAAAGAGAAAAATTAAAGTATGATATGGAAAAGTAAATTACTTTCCTTTGTGGTCGAGAACTTTGACAAGTAATTAATGAGACGATGAATAGAAGTGATGGAAGAATCACAAAATGAATTAATCCTAATAGGATCATTGTTGCATCCACCGAATTCTGCCTCAAACAAATTAGAAAAACAGAAGTTCCAATTGGATGCAATGAAATCGAAGTGATCGTTTTTGTATAATTTACATCTTTTTATATTTTTTATACTATTCTTGGAAATTTACATAATTTACATATTAAGCCCTAATTTCAGCGTCACAATTTAAGCATAAAATTTGAATAAGTTTACACATTGCGAAAAAACTTTCCATATGCAAAAATTTTGAAATTCCGAATTTTTCAAAGTGATATCCTTTAATTCATAATTTGAATTTGAATTTTATAATTTTTCTTCAACCAGTACTATTGATAAATTTGTATATTATACAAAGTTTTTAATTAGTGACTATAAAATACTAGAAATATAGACAGTTAGATGTTATGCTTTCTAGTTTTCTTGGTTGAGTCGTTGTACTTGCAAATTATTGCTTGATTCAGGATGGATAGCGAAGAGGATGAAGATTTCGGTCTTAAACAGGTTTGTAAATCAATTTCTTCTATTTCTACTACTGATATATTTTGGTAGCTAAATTACTCTCTAGCAAGCCAGTTTTTTGCATTTAGGGATCAGTAATTGAATCATCTCATGCAAAGTATACAATTGATAAATTGCTCGGTGAAGGTGGCTTCGGAGCCGTATATCGGGTCCACGATTCCAATAATCCAAGCATGGAGTATGCTTTAAAGGTGGAACGAAAACTTGAGACTCGTAAGGATTCCAAACTCAAAATGGAGGTGCGATATTCATTTTCATATTTTAACGTATTAATCAATTTGATGATAATTGAATTTTTCCGTGTTTTAAAACGATTCGGTGATAGCATCACTTTTTCTATGATATTTTTGATATGATTTATATATGAGTGCATCCAAAAGAATGCAAATTCGAAATTCGTTTCATTTGAGTATAAGCATTTCTTGTTCTTGGCCATATTATTACGATCATTGATAATATTCAACAATGTAAAACATTCTTCTGCAGTATTCACTCTTTCTACAGATTGCCATTTTGAAATTAGTTTCAAATGAACGAGCCGAAAAGTCACATTTTACAAAAATTATCGATCGTGGCAAAAAGGAGAAATTTTTTTTTCTTGTTATGCAACTCGTTGGAAAATCACTTGCCGATCTTAAAGCTTTACGACCGCATAAGGTACCGTCTTCACTAAAAGTTGAAAACGATAAGGAGAATTATATATCTTCTATGTGTTTGATTGATTGAGTAGTGAACTTAAACTTAATCATAATACTCACCTATAATCACAAGCACAAGCGCAATGAGGGATAATTATTCATTATCATTTCATGATGTAATCCTAGTCATAATATCTAACAATTACTACACCTAAACGAGTGGTTGTTAAGAGAAGTTTTCGCTGGCCAATTTAAATGTAACTAAATCTTCAAAAGTAATTTATTTGAAACATATAATAGAAGATGAATGGACAAAGAAAGACAATGATCTTTAAAGGATTAAAAATTTTCCAATAAGTGGATCGGTAATTGACATAATAACAGAATTGTAGTGATAATATTGAATTTGTAAATCATTGCATTACTCAAATTTATGGAAATTGATGGTATTATCACAGGTATTCTCAATGCACACTGGTTTGGGCGCATCGATACAATGTCTGGAGGCAGTAGAGGATCTACACAAACACGGTTTTATTCATCGAGATTTGAAACCTGCTAATTATGCAACCGGCCTCGGAGTTCAAATACGATGCGTTAGTTGGTTTACGTTTTCAAATTATGATCAAATATTGGCTAAAAATAAATGCAAATAGCTCAAGTAAAATAAATTTTAATTTAATCCCTAAAAACTTCATTGGCAACTATTCACGTTAAATTTCAGATCTATATTCTTGATTTCGGGATAGCACGACGAATTCTCAATGATAAGGGTGAAATCAAGACACCTCGTGTAACAGTTGGTTTCAAGGGTACAGTGAAATTTGCGCCTATAGCATGTCATAAACGAAAAGAACTGGGCCCAAAAGATGATTGTGAATCATGGTTTTATCTTCTTCTCGATCTTCTTGTCGTAACAGGTACCAACAGCCTCTTAATATCTCCTCTCCAAAACTTTCCAATATCTGCCATCGGTTATTCTCGAAAATTTTCTAAAATAATTTAAGGATTACCATGGAGGAAAATATCGGATAAGAATGAAGTATTGAGGGTGAAGGAAGAATGTCGCACGAATCGAGACAAACTGCTGTACGGAATAAAATGCAAGGAAGAGTTTGGCAAAATTTTAGAATACATCGATTCGCTACATTATGAAGATCGCGTCGATTATTCTTACATATATGAATTATTGAAAACAGTACATTTTTACTAAATTATTTCATTTCTAGTTTTTATTACATTAGAAGACAATAAGTTCTCTTTCCTTTACTTTTATTTTAATTCAAATGAATTATATCATGGATCAATCAATTTATCATAATAGTATTATCCCCTAGTTTGCAAAAATCAACTGGGAAGAGTTTATTAAAACAAACAAGCATTATTTTAATGAAGCAAGTATATGATCTCCTGCTAACTAGTTAGTGACTCGTAATGAGAAATCGCTGTAATTGTATGGAAATTTCAGTCATCAATAATCTGTGATTGTAAATTGACCGATCCATACGACTGGGAGGAAACAGCGCGTAAGAAGTGATTCATAATTCGAAATGATGAAATAAGATATCAGCTTGACAGCGCGCTACATGCTCTTCTCTCGTTGTAATGTTACAAAATTATTTTTGATGGCTTAACAAAATCATTTCGTCAATTGAATTGCAAGCATGAAAACTAGAAATCTTCAATTGTATATAAAAATTCGATATATTCAGAGTGATTGTTTAGCAAAATCGTATGAAGCAAATAAACTAAAAATTTTTCTTGCAAGATCTACTTGTCTCTGTTGAAAGCAGAAAATGTGATAACATTCCGAAACAGAAGTTTCTGCTTCACCATTCACCATTCTGGAATTAGTAACCTGTAACTACAATTTAAAGCATGGCTATCATCTAACGACTACTGGGACTCAGAAAGGTGTAGGTGTAACCTGGTCATTAAAATCCATCAAGCTATTATCAATTTCCTGAATATATTCAACAAAAACAACGTATATTTTTATACCTGAATATATCATATAATACTAAAGCATGGAATGCATTCACTTGATAACTGGAATAGCATATTTTATATTTATAGAAGTAGAAGACCATGCAGTCAGTATTTCCTTGTTGGTGTATGAACTATTTTAATTTGAAAATGTATGTTTTGCCGCACTTTTACCCGCAATCGTCATCGTAGTTGCTCACTGATAAATGCATAAGGTCGTCCCGACATCGTAATTAAGGATGTCTTAGGAAAAAAACAAAATTCCACATTCTATGAGGCTAAAAGTCAGTAAATCTCTCAAACTAGCAGTTGATCGCACTTCGTAACTAACTATTCGATAGAAAAATTTCAGATATTCTAAGAAAAAGCACGAAAATTCAAGACTGCAGAAGTGAGGGTGCCTTAATAATATATAATCAACATATTGCCAATTCATGTACAACTTTCAAAAGTCTCTTTCATAAATAAAAGTACTAAACTGAAATACAAAAGAGGAATTTAATATTCAAAAAGAATGCCAAGTACATTTCATAAATAGCTTTTAAATATATAAATATATTTCTCTTTGAGGGTAAACAAATGAACCAAAACTGCGCTTGTCAAATGTTCCAGTGACATCGAAGTTCCAGTGTCATTTCCTTGACAATAAAACAGATTGGTCAATAACCTCTCTCTGCTAAAAATATCTATTTCCGTCCTAAGGAGCAGATCAAAACATATTTTGAAAGTATTATTTCACAAGATTTTTCTCGATCAAATCAACTGCTTCTACAAAACTTTCCACACAATTTCTTGAAGCCTCAGGTATTTTCAACTCATCGCCTGCAAAATTATTTTTTAAATTTGTAAAATTGGATATAATATAAATGAAATGTAATGCAATGACTTTATGAAACATCAATTTGTAAATTTTATTTGTAATAAAAACCGATACTAAATAGAGAACAATTATGACCACAAAGAGAAGACGATTAAATTTTATTTTTCATTTATAGTGAAGTTTTATCGTGAAATTGCAGTTGCAACTTCTCTGTGATGTCGTCATCCCGATGAAACTTATAATTATGACTATATGAAATAGAATTAGGACAACAAGAAAAACCAAAGAAACCTTCGGAATATTTGCCAGTTTTCACAAGGATCGCACGCATTCCAACATTAATAGCTCCAAGAACATCATCTCGAACATCGTCACCAATCATTACAGCTTGTTGTGGTATCAAAGATTTATCGGTATTAGCTAAGGCCGTTAAAAAGAACGCACGTTCCGGTTTACCGACCACCTGAGACTAAACGAAAAAAATTGTAGTTCCCATATACTATATATAAATGACTTCGTGGATTCTTTATTTTATGAAGAAAATGATAATCGACGAAGAAAATTGCAAGACAAATGTAATACATCATAATCGGCCTAAAAAATGCAATAAATCTAAGCAAAATACATTGTTACTGAGAAAGATTTACTTCAACATCGGCGGCATATTCAAGCGCTTCTACGAAAGGACCTGGTCCCAATGACAAACCATCTTTTTGTTTAAAATATCGCCCTTTATGAATGGCAATCAGTTTCGCACCGTCCAGCAGTAACCGAAATGCTTCATTCAAAGACGTAAAAGTGAATTTTGAGGGAGCAAGTCCAACAACTACTGCATTCGGTTTCTTAATGTCCACATTCACATCTAGATCATATTACCAGTGAGTGTTATCATTTGGATAGTACCATGATGATTAATAATCACTAATAATGAGACAAAGAAGAATGCAGACTTAATATTTTATACAGTGAAGAATAGAATAGAAATAAAATGGTAGGTTAACTTACTATTCAGTCACATTGTACCACATTAAGTATTTGATAATGCCTTCTACCTGCGAATTCTTCGAGTGCAGCATTTTCAAGAAATAATATTGGTCGTAAATTGTCCTTTTTGATGAGATGTTTAGCGGCGGTGAGTGAAGTAAATATTTCCGATCGTGTAATTTCCAATCCAAGCTTTGTAAGGCGTTCATGAAGTCGGTTGGTTGATTCCTGAACAGAGCAAAAATCAAACTCAAAAGTTGCCATAAATTTTTTAACTGCTTAATCCTGCAATAGACCACTTTTTAACTTTATTTAATCCTGCATTAGATTAATTTTCCAAGATAAAAAAACAAATAGACGCTAGGATTTTAAAAATGATGGGCCGTGATGCAAATGAGCACCACGGGCTTCATTATTAGCATCTTTTATAAAAAAAGCAAAAAGATAGCAATAAACTAGTGTCAACAAGCAAATGAGATCTCAACAAACGAATGATATCCCAAAAATACAGTTAAAAAAATTATACAAATAAAATGAAAAAGTTACGCAACAGTGCATTACAAATTTTTTACGAAATTTTGAAATTCTTGGAGAAAATTATTTCAGATTTAACACAGCAGACTTTTTTTCTTAAAGTTTGCTGTATCAAATCTCAAAAAATTTTCTTCCAAATCAATTTATTGAAAATAGATAGGTTGGAAGAGTTGCAATGTTTCATGCAGTGTCATCAAAAAATGGAGTACCTTCGTTGTGTTGGTAACAAATTTGACAGCATAACGAGGATTGCGCCTCAATCGTTGTAAGGCTGCCGGAACTCCGGCAATACAAGTATCTTCAATGTGCAACGTTCCCGATAAGTCAATTAGCACAGCAATACGTCCCAAAGATACCATTTCGGTATGACGAGAATAAATACCTGAATAAGCTTTAAAAATTTATTGTCATATCATATTATTCAGAAATGATACGTGGTTTACGCAGAAGAGACTATTTCCTTCTAACGTTTAACAAAGTCGTGAAATGGTTGACTGATAAGAATTCGTACACTTGAACCTGAGCAATCCTCCTCCACTAATATTGTATTGGAGGAACATGTCCATAATTACTTCACCGACACTGTGACCTAAAATTACAAGGGAATATGTTAGACAAGAGAATATCCGCATTGCCAGTGATGCCAACCGAGAATACCGCGAATATCAACTCTCGATGACATCAACCAACCTCTGACCATTCCAGTAAGCTCTTGAAAATGTTTAATGGTGTTCATGTTAAAGCAGTATGTAAATGGATGAGAGAGTCGAGAAATGAGTGAAAAGCGAAGAGAGTAGAAAGCACAATGCATGGAGTGATAGGTTCTGTGGACGAGCGGTTGGTAGCATGTGCTGCTATTTCAGCGCATTTCAAGTTATACAGAATTGGGATCTTTTAAAGTAACCACGTTGTTGTTCCTTTTAAAATGGATAGAATTAGTTGTGATTTAGAATTTGGATTACATCTCGAGATTTTTGATTATAACTGCAATATGATGGTCATTATGACTAGGACAATTTCATAGTTTGTAACACTTAATTGAAGATAGCATGTTTTCAATCATCCGTGCATTACAAGTTGATATTATGGCAACAGTAAAAATGTCATAGGTCATATCATATGCGAAATATTTTAGTTCGAACTCCGTAAAGAAGCAATACGTTCCTGAGTGTCCCCCTCGTCGTAGATTTATTTGATTCAGGAAAGTTTTACTTGAATAAAACAAACTTAAATGCGAAATTGGAAACATGTAAAGACATGGGGAAGATTTCATACGGCTTTTTATTATGAAATAATACTTGATGCTAAATGCATTTATGTTTTCTGCCTGGTTTCTTACTGAGGTTTTTTAGAAAAAATTTCCCCCATTCTCTCCTTTCTTTCGAATCGGATTTCTGTCAGAAGCTGTTTGAAACAAGCGAAGCATTAGTAGACATGGAAAGGATGAAACGCCTCCTTTATTTCATTTCCCTTTTTGAAGGGGCGAAATCAGTCTTCATTCAAAGGCTTTTCAAACAAAGATCAAATGTAAAGTTTACTGCATTTTTTTCTAAGCTATTATGTGTATGCTTGCCCAAAATATTTCTGCATTGCAACGTTAAGATGAGTTTATGAGGCTGAAAGGGAGTGCTGGCCACAAATTTGAGAATGGTATTTGACCTAAAGTTCAACTCTTTTAAGAGAATTCCAAAGTAAAATCAGAGATTCTTAATGAGTGCAGATCAGTTTATGACTTCAAAATTTAGTCATTGATGAGATAATGTTCTTACCATGCACTGTGCTCCTATATTTATTTAGTAATGCTCATAAATCCATATGTGAGAGATCTTCAATATCGGCATACTTAACTTTGTGAAAGCGCTTTGAATCATTGATCCAACGTAATAAATTAAAAAATATGAAATCAAAAAAACACAGTTCAGACGAGCTACCACCTCATTCTACCATGTTAAATACGCCATTAGCATGAGAATAATTCTTCTGGCACTATCGATGAAGTTTATTTGCTATAACATCATTTGAAATAGCAGCAATATTGCCTTTAAAGCTGACTTTTTTCAAAAAGGGAAAAGGGTAGTCTCTTTTTCTATGATGCTAACAGAGAAATGTTAATATTTTCTCTCCAGCGGTTTAAACAATGCATTATTAGCATTCAAGAGAAACAGACTGTTTTATATATGTCTAATACAATTTAAATAAAAAGGGAATTAACAAGTTCAAAGAATAGGAACGAAGATTACACGTTTGGAACCGACCAAAAATTATGTATAAACCTTGGAGATCTAAAATGAAATGCATGCCAGCTTTTTATGACTAATACCTTTTTCGAATGAATCCCTCATTAACATAGCATAATGTTAAAAAAATGCTATAGTTGATCGGAAGCACAATGCATATGGTACAAAATTTGATTCGATGAGAAACTAAGCAAAATAATTGCAATTAAAAATCACAAAATTTATTGATAAATTGAATTCATCCAAAACTAGCTTTATAATTTGTATCTCAAGTAAGTAATTATTGTCTTAAGTTGAATTGAAATTAAGTAATCCTATAACAGTTTACAAACTGCTTGCAAATGCAGACAAGTGGGTAATGATAATGTTTCCAGGTTGAAATCCGAATAAACAAACGGTTCGGAGTCGAAAGGCGTCAAATACGTACCCATCATGATCAGTGTATTCTGAAACATTTCATATCGATAAACATCCAAAAAATTCAAATCGAAGAAGAGAAAATTGAAAGCGTACTTTGAAACCAAATTACAATTTGAGATCAGCTGGAATCATGCAAAACATGAAAAAGAACTCACAATATCAGCATCAGTTCCTCCATTTGCCCTCGTCCTAGCATTCAACCTTTCGGAAACTTTGATTAGAAAATCGGGACTCAGTCGTCTTTCTTCGAAGCTGTCCGTTGGGGCATAATGTTGCAATATGGCCATCACCTGCAACAGATAACACTAGATAGTCACAGATAACACTGGAGAAGGAGTGCACTATTTTCTCTCACGAATGTAACTGCGGTGAAATTCAACCAGCAGTTGGTAGTTAAGTTATATATATCAAACAGGAGAAATGTTAAAATACATGGCCAAACTGTTGTTACCGTAAATCTTCGAAAAATTGATCATGAACCCAATTTGCTTATAGTTGCTAAGAGAGAGGAGAGAAAGAGCAATGCACTGTTCCATGAATGCAAGATAGGGAATACCGGTACTGGAAATATTATCGTAAAAAAAATGATTCATCAGCTAATGTGTGCCTGCGGTACACCGGCTGATCTCATTGATTATTGCAATTTTTTAGCTTCTTCGTTTCAGTGATTGGAAGTTGAATTGAAACAGCATTAACAGACACTTTCCTGAAGCTCTTCATCAAAATCAAAATTAAAGAATTAAAACTCACCTGTTTTGGCTTCAGTTTTGAAGTCATTTCACCACAAAGAGTGTCTAAATTCGATTCATCTTTTTTGGACTGCAGCAAATGAGATGCTTGTACCAATGGTTCTAATGTTTCACGATGCACAGATAATCCATTGATAGAAAGCCATGACTGTACTTCGGTAACGTTATGTCTAAAAATATTGAATTAAATCCGATCACTCTCTTTGAGTACAAATACAGCGCAATACGAGTAGCAAAACTGAAAAGAACAATAGCTTCTTTTTTATAATATGTAGTTTAAGTATAATTTACTTAATTTGTATGGCTTTCTCGAAATTGCACAATTCTTTCCTAAACATCAAGTGATTCAGTGCTAGCGCACAAATCCAGTACGTCATTTGTCCGAATACTTGTCCCAGTAGCACCGTATCCGCACCATACACTCTAAGCTTGTTATGAATGAAATTCAGCTGAAAATGACGGATAAAATCGCGGAGAAGCATGACTTGAGTTATTACGCTTCAATGCAAAAGAAACTTATTGGTGGAACAATTTTAAAAATTAATACGAACAGTTGGTGACATACAATTCATCCTGAAGTTATCTGAAAGATAGAAAATAAAAGCTTTGTGCTAACCAATTCAATTAAATCATCTAAAGCTCGCTGCGAACTCTGTTCCTTTATAGAATGTCGCCGTTCATTATTCTTTACACTGATACCGTTCATCATCTTTTGACTTGATTCATGTTGCAATATAGCGGGAACTATCAAATGAAATGAGAGTTGTTTTCGAGTTGAAAAGAATTTGATACAAAACTTTAAAATGTCATAAAAACAAACTTGTTTCTTAAAAACCAACCTATTTTTGGCGAAAGTACTGGTTCGATGGCTCGTTTCAAAAGATTCTGGAACGATTCCTCAACTCGAGCACGAAGCTGATTCCGCAAAGGACACAGATCAAAATTTTGCATCCGCTGGCTATTTTGTTTTTCTGAATTGGTCACAGACCATTCCTGAAAGCAAGAATAAACTTCCTGAAATTATCAGAGAGCACCATTGTCTGCTGCAACCTAAGATAAAATCGTTGCCTGAAAATTCTTATTACATTTCGAAAGTTTTTTAAACTTGTTTCTTAGTGCTCACATTATTGTCTTCACCGCTATACTGCCGCAAAAGATTCAACAAACGCCACGAATTAACCAACCATAACGACAGCACATCCATATCATTCGAGTGCTAAAAGTGTTAAAAATTAAAGGCAACGCTACATTTAACTGTATTCTATAAGAAATCTTAGTCAGGCAGAAGTTATAATGCTATGATGTGCTATTTGCTTAAAACAGTACATACGAATTCAATTATTTTTTAAGTTTTCCTCCCACAACTCCTCAGTAAAATATCACTATTTTTCTAAAACTTCTCCAAGGAACAAGGATTCAAACAAAGCAATTTGAATTTCTCTAATTGATATAACAACTCAAAATTTGACTCATCATCTTAAAACGCTGTAAAACAAGCAGCTACATAATGAAGTATGAACTTATTAATGACAACTGACTGCTAGTGTATCCTTCAACACCACATGAACAGCCGAAAATAGGCTGGTGAGGCTTGCTTCATCTTTGATATGATCATAGTATCGGAAGGCTGCAAGTAAAAGATATGCTGGCAAGCAAGGCGTTAACAGGCGAGCAAGTCGTGGCTTCAGATCTGCAAGCTAATATGGTTGGGCAGATTTAATTAAACTAAACATTTGTATATTTTTTCATTTTCATTACTCCACTTTTCGCTTCAAAATTTTAAGAAATCATAAATTGGATTCAAGGAAATTTTGTGCAATCCTTCTTCGGAATTTAAAATTCCAGAACCTCCAGACTTGCCTAATAAAACAGAGCTTACCACAGACAAGTATCCTTGTAAATTCTGGTATATTGAAAACTTCTAGAAGTGAAGAATGCTTAAAATTATCTTTCTTTAGCGCTTCCAAGCGAATGATATCTGCATCGGAGGTATTATCTAAAACAATGATCTTTTAAAACTCGATATATTTGTTTCATTGATAATAACAGAATTACTGCAGCTTCCGTCCCGAATCATTAATATTCGGTTGGAAGTCTTGTTAATTATTCTATATTAATTTAGTCTATACAAATTTATGATCAATCAATACGAAGTGACATTTCACTCACAATAAGTTCAGTGTACTGCAGAGGATCTTCTCTGATTGCAGGTTTTGAAATATATATATTGGCTAGCACCTTTCAATATCTCTAATATTCAGCTTCTTGACACTGTAGAGAAATGATTGCAATTCCTCCTGCATCAATAATAACAATGATCAACCGTCAAATGCAAAACAAGAGACGAAGAAATCTAACCAAGTGAAAAAGTGACCAGTCCGCCACATCCACGTAGTTGTGCCCTCGCTTCGGACAGTTCATCGGACTGCCGATTGATTTTATCTTGCAGACTCTAGAGATACACAATAGCATAATTAAATGCAAATAAAGAACTGCAAAACATTCGAAAAACTCTTAGAAAACTCTACACTTAATCATACTATTGAAACCCATATCACTTGCGCTTAATTAGGTCCAATTAAATTATACTAAAGTTAAATTATACAAAAACTAACTAATCCAACTGACTTTTTCGAAGATTGTTTAGGTCTTTCAGCTTGATAATATAGTAATAAACAACTTAAATCAACACATTAAATACCAAAGTTAAACATCTCTTCTTCCTCAAGGATCACAACTGAAACTATATTCAACACACCAAATTTTCAGATGTCAATTGATTCACTTGCTGGTGGATATCAGATAATGTTTCTTTTAATGGGTAACTATCGTCCGCTGATTTCTGTAATTACTTGCAATTATTTTTTAATTTTCCAAAAAAATTTTCTATTAAAAATATACTCACAAATCTCTTTTCCAAACATTAACTCTGTTAGAATATTCTATTTACTTTCTAATTACTATCACACTATATATTATTTTTTAAGAGGATTGAGAAAGACAAGTTGCTAGAATTTCTTCTGAATTATTCCTAAATTATGTGTTAATATGATAATTCATATGGAGAATGCTGAACAAAGTTTCACCAATTAATATCAGCATTCAAATGTCATGAATAATGCAAAATTTCCTCTCACTTCCCAAAGCAAATATTTTCAAGCGTCAAAATTTTCACTTACACTTTTGGAATGCGATGGGGCACCAACTTCAAGATCATCAGTAGCAAATGTAAGCTGATAGAAATCAGGTAGAGGAGACAGATAATTCAAATTATGACTCGAAGAATACATGAACAGAGTCGTCAAGTAACTCAAGTAATTAACATTTCCTTTCAAATTCTCCCACTCATAACAGGCCGTTATTTTCCTAAACATAAGACAAAGATAACAAGTACTATAAAGATTTATTAACTTAGCAAAAACAACCAAAAGTTGTGATATAACTTATCAAGCAAAACGATGATTGTAAAATATTTCTCGAGAGAGTCTATTCGTTGAAAATAAAGTCAAAAATAAATTTCAAAGTTATGCTGGACAATGCTCGTCAATCACATATCTCTAACATATAATATCAATCAAAATTTTATCTATGCATATAAAGGGAAAAGAAAAATCAAAGAAGCCGATATTGTGAGTTCTTCCACACTGGTACATTCATATGCCTGAACAGGAATGCTGTAATGTGTGACTAAAACATTTGCTCAAGCCCCGTTATAAATAACAAAATGATTGATTCTGTGAATTAACAGAAAAGAAATATGAGACAGAATTAATGAAATGAAAAGTCTGAAGATATTCAAGCCTGGAATCGAAATTTCTTGATGGGAGAGATCTTACTGATTTATTACACAGGATAATGAAACTGAAAATTGCGTTGCTGAAAAAGATACAGGCATGAACAATACTTCCTCTCTTTCAACTGAAATGCATGTGTGTATGTATGATTGCTGTCATATAATGCCACATTTTATTGTCATCTGTACTATAGCTCAACTCGTATGTCAATGAATTATAGGGAAGTAATGCCTGCCAGATAATTAGATAAAAACGGCACAATCTGTCGGAAAACCGAAATAACTTCATAATATGAAAATGTTTAAAAATCAATGTATCTTCATGCTTTTATTATTTTAGGTTAAAGAAATTGTTTTTTCAAATTCTCATTAATGCTTGCTACAGTTTCCTTATCATGTAAATATGATTTGCTTTGTTTAGCATTTCAATTTACTACTACTCTAAGGGGTACTGTAAATAATTAGCATCACATAAATCCCTTTTTACGATCGATTTCATCTAATTGTATATTCAAGCAATTCCTTGTTAATCATCAGTTTTACTATCTACTACAAACGAATACCGATATATATCAATAACTTCTTGTTACCTCTAGTTTCATTTTGTTAAATGACCCTATGATTCATTTGTACCGTTAGTTCGTCTATAAGATGACCAATTGATCGTAACTTATTGTTCTCAAATCAAGCGATCTAATTCTTCCTAATTTTCATATAATATCAGGAAGAATGAACTCATCTCCATTAAGAATAAAACTTCTCCTACAATCTTTGTCTGCAAATCAACAAACTTATCGAAACAAAAAGTTTTGTCACACATCACACTATACCTCAAATTATTGACTGTAACAGGCCAAAATTTTAAAAAAAAAGTGAAAATTAAATGAAACTGGTTTTCTGCATGGGCTAAAAATGGATGAATAAATAATAGGGATGACTAGACAACGAGCTTCTGAAATGCGTTGAAATTTTATCGATTTATTAACAAATGCTGCTAATTTTAGGCATAGCTGGCGGCAAAATTATCAGTGTTCCAAGTTTTCTAATCAAAGTCAGAAAATAGGAATTAAAATGAATATACTATAAAGTAGATTTACTACAAAAAGAGTATCAAACTCTGTTTTGTTGCGAGAAATGTATAAAACGAAGTGATATTACTCAACGTCATTACAAGCTATTACTCCCTACTGACATGTGACATGTCCATATAATGCATCTCCCAATCAATTAACCTTTAGGTGAAATAGGCCTAACATATTCTTTGAAGGTGGGTATGTAGCATAACGTATTCATGAATGCTAAAATATCTTCTAATTAATTAAGATTCTTAATTCCAACTGTTGAAATACCCCATAACATCTATAATCAAATCTAATCTACTAATTCTTACATAAGCAAGTATCCTCTTTAAAGCTCCAAAAGATTCAAAATTCAGTGATTTACAGATACTAAAGTCAATGGATAGTTCAACTAACAAAAATTGTTAAGAGCCACGATTTCCACATGCAAAAAACACATGTAAAGGGAATTTTAAAGCGACAGCAGTAGTTCATCATAACAAATTAAATTAGAAATGTAGCATTTGTCGGAATTTTTAAAGCGATAGCAGTAGTTCATCGCAACAAATTAAATTAGAAGTGTAGCAATCCGTGATAACCTTGCAAAACAACTGTTGCATCTAAATAATCGGAGTATTTGCATCTCTAAATTCATCTTTTTAGAACTAATTCATGCTATAAAGATGATTACTGATAGATAAATGGGTTAAATTGTGTCAAATGTTAAGGCTAAACCTTTGTTCATTTTGTTGCTTTGTCTCTAAAGGATATAATAAAGTCCTTTGTTCGCCGCTACTAGCAAATGTTAAGTACTCTTTGATCATAGAGCGCTCTTTGTCTCAATGGCTCTGCTTGGTATGATTACATGTAAAGGCTATGTGATCGTTGGGTTACCATCGATCGACTTATCCTTCCTTATAGGTTGAAACGATCCTTTCTTTACTATCAGTTTTTTCTATCAAATAATCTTTCATAATTAGCATCACTTTTGCCCACACCATGACTTTGTCTAGTTTACCGTGAATAGTATTCGCCAAGCATCGTCCAACTCAAAAGTCAATATATAGCTTAATTACTGACAGAATCAATTTTTTTTCTGTACCCAGCTAGCCTCGTGGATTTACACGGCTAAAGGAGAATAATTATGGGATCAACTCAGTTACTATATTGATGGTAATTGTATTATAACATCAAGAATAACAGCTAAGCTTTCACTATAATTCGATTATGCTAAATCAAAATCTCTCATACGAAAAAAATTCGCACCAGCATTGAAAAATTGCCAGATAAGTTATGCAAATGCAACGCTGAATAAACGTATTAGTTTAATACGTTTTGCTTTATATTTATGTTCTAAATAAGGAAAGCTTCTCAGGTAGACAGACATAAACGAATTTCTATCAATATCGATTAAATAAAAGAAAGAACATAAATACAAAGCAAATAATCAAATAAAAATTCAATATTCCTGGGAGAATCTAATTTGAGATATGATAAAAGATGGGGAGATTTTGAAGATGTCTACTATCATTAGTATTTGAAAAAGTTATTCATTATACCAAATCATAAACTACTGTGTAAGATACTGCAAGCTATTGTATGCTCTTTTTAAGTTTATTTTTCTTGACTCTTTTCATTTTGCATTTTAAAAGATTATTTAAAAATGCGATATGACATTCAAAAATTCGATCGATATTTCAAAACTGCGAATTGTAGAAGATAAGGCTAGAAGATAATTAAGAAATCAAATGGATGTCACAGAAGAATATTATGAAAAGGACAGATAATAGATGCATTCAGAAAAGTATGACGAAGTCAAGAATGACGTGTAATACATTTTGAAAGAATTCATTAGTGACATATGAAGAAGGGAAAGCAATGATGGAGATGACCAAAATGTCTCCCTCTTGTACTTTCTATATTACCGATAAAAGTTATTCCGGTCCATTGCGCATTTTATCCTCTTTCATGAACACCAGATTAATTGTACTGTTGAGGTAGTGTCAAACAATTTGATGAAATGCAACATGTATTATAATTTTGATCTTAAAATGTTATAAAATTGACTTCAAGCTATCATTCATCCTTAAGCTCTTCAAGCATGTATGAAAATAAGCAGTATTAAATACATAACACACACTGAGAAATTAATCTGCCAATGCTCAAATTTTGATCCAATAAAATCTATCACAATTTTTCAAACATATTCAATTTTATCTAGCAGTAATTACTTATTTGCAAGAAACAAAGCATGTAGACATGTAGACATGTCAAAGTATGTAGATCTCAAACAGATCAAATTTCACACCTTTTTAGGGTAATAAATGTTTAAAAAGGACACTAATAAGATAGCCGTGCATGTATATCGAATTGAAATGACCTAATGAAAATAAAAATTTCAAAAAGAAGAAATCTATCTCTAATTGATCGATTGTTTCTATCCAATGAATTTTATGAAACCTTTATTTTTTGCATTGCTTCAATTTTATGACTCTACCTACTTCCCCTTTTTTGAACCTATCTCCTGTTTCTCACTAACTAGCAAAAGTAATTAAATTTTGAAATACATCCCAAAATAGTCATAAAAATTTAACGATAAAATCGAAAATCATCAAAAAGAACATAAAAAGTCAATAATCTGAATTTTTGCCGCAATGAATCGATAAACTTAAATAAATTTCAAGAGAGCATTCTTCTAGTATCATTGAGAGACTCTAAAAACCATTCAAGTATCATTGAGAGATTATTCAATATTATACCATTATATTATGCATAATGTATTATGTAACCGTAATGTCATTAATGCGAACGGAATTTTTGATTGGCTTCCTCCGATACGAAAAAATGAGTTGTTGAATTGAAGAAAAAACATATACATTTCCTTTTTCAATCATTAAGGAAGCATAGAAATAACAAATAAATCATTCGTTACAAGAAAAGGAAAATCATGTATGGAAAGGAATGATGATATTAATGAAAAGAAGAATTAACAGAAGCAGTTATTTTTTAATGAGCGTTTTTTCAAGATTTAATAGTAAATTGAACAGAAAGGAAACAGAGAAAAAATTAGAAATTGAACTACTTCCCAATTTTTCCGGTTCTTTCTCTTCCATCTTATAATATTCAACTAAAATTTGTTGTAAGACACACCGCACATAAATACAAACAAAAATAAACAGTTTAGTATTTAGTTTATCTTAGTAAAACTTTTTTAATTTCATTCATATCTCAAATACAAAAGTTTTAGCAGCAAGCTCTAAGGCAACTTTCATACCTATCCAAATCTCTCTTTTCTAAAATATATTTAAAAAAATACAACTTTTGAATTCAACTGAATTACCTATAGAGTTATCATTTTCACTATCTCTTAATAAATCATATAAATTATGCATGCCTCAATAATATGGTACAGTGACTTGCTCTCTGATATCTTGCATGAATACTTATATTTTAGCTTTATTATTTCCCATGTTTCACTGATGTCACGATCTTATTCATATTTATTCGTTAATTAAACATTTTAAGATAATTAGCTAAGTTTGGATAAACAAAAATTTTACTTATAATTCCCCTCTCCCTCGCCATGATTATCCAAAACAATCATTTACCTTCGAAGCTGCCAATTCATTCAAACGATGTTCCAATCGCTCAATTTCCGCATTCCTCTCGGTGATTGTCCGCGATAATATTTTAAAATTTCAGTTTTTAGTAAATTTCAAAAAACAAAAATTCAAAAATATTATCATTTCAAATATGCTTAGAAAGTTGTAGAGTTTAATCGAGATAAGTAATGATTGCGCTAATATGACCATGATCAGAAAGTATAGAACTATAAACGTCAGTATTCAAATGAAAAGCTAGCATAATGAAGTAATAACGAAATTAATGATAAATGGTTTCCATAAAGTTTCTGAAAGATGGTTACAAAAAATTATTACTCAATTATTACTTACTGTATATGTGATTTGAATTGTCGACATTGCCTTCCCAAGTTCAATTCTTCATCTAAGTCGTTACAGGAGCCATCATCGCTCTGTATACCAGACCAGTGATCACTATCTGGATGTGATGAATTTGAAGCTTGAGCTCGCTGTTCGAATCGTGCAGCCAATATGGCTCGTAATTCAGCAGCTTCTTCTCGACGCCTTAAAAAAATCCATTTGTAGTGCTATCAGCTGCCATAATTGAAGACTTCTGTTGAGTGCGAAAGTATTTCTTTTAAAAAAAATTTTAAAAGCCATGCTTATACCATGAAATTTCTAAAATGATTGTAATTCTTATAGCAATATGTAACGTCAGTAATATAAACAAATAAGCAAAGAAATAATTCAGCGCATTAAGTTCTACCATCACAAGAAAATTATATAGAAAAGTTCTGTATAAGTCGAAAGATTTATAGACGTTATAATGGATAATACACATTAACTTTGCTTAAATTATGCTTAAACTATACTGAAATCAACAGTTGAAGGGAAGTTCATCATGTGATATAAATTTGAATGACGCAGAGAAAATATATTTCCTTTAAAATTAAGTATATGACAGCATAGCCATCGCTTACCTATCATTTTCTTCCAATATTTTTTCAACAAATGATCGAAAATTGACTGCTTCAGGGCCATTTCGTAGTTTCTCTTCAAGTAATCGTCCCATTTCATCTTTAAGCTTTGTATAAGCTAACTCGAGCTCCTATAGTGATGAAATATTTTTCTACTTTCTGTATATCTTTAAATCTTTCTTTGAATCATATCGTTTCAAATCATCCCACAACTTGGATTAAAGTTTTAAAGGCTTTCAAAGACTAATGATCTTAGCAAATCAAAAACGAAACGTAACTTACCTGTAGTTGCTGCGCTTCAAAAACTCTCATAGTAGTCTGCTTATCCAAATTTTCGATCAGCATATTTGCATCCATTATTAGTTTCAAATGATCATTTTCTCTTGAGATTTGCTCCATTCTGCAAAAACTTGGCGGCTGTATTTTCAACATGACTGTATTAAATTTAAATTTCTCTGGACGAGCATTACAGATCTTAATAAACTTTACTAAATAAAATATTATAAATATACTCACAGAAGTCACGATTTCATGAATAGCTACTACGAATTTTTCAATTTTTCTATCCCTTTTATGCTTAATATAATTTTAATACCATATGAAAAAAAATGTAAACTTTAATCGAAATAATGAGAGTCATACTTGTGCAATCAAAAATTAATAAACAGCTTAGAGTAAGCAGCTTATCGCAGCAAACTAAATAAGCATACTTGGAGCGAAGCACATTAATAACATGTTGCTGCTTGAGTATAAGGACCATTTCATCTATCTCATTATCAGCTGCATCATCAGTAACTATTTTACCATTTGTAACAGCAATCAGAGCCGACTGATTCAAACTTTTTTGAGTGAGCCGCACACCTGAAAAGATGTTACCATTCCTAATTTCTATTTGATCATTACAAATTGCTGATGACAAAAAAAAACGAAAGGTAACTTTATCCTATGAACAACGTCATGATCCTAACCATTTTATAACGAAAGCTAATGCAGTATTACAGATAATAGACAATCATTATTCAATTGTTACTAAATATGAAGTTATTATCAGTGCTATTAAGCGATTCAATTAGTCCTAAATAATAAAATATGTAGTTCGAGAATTTCTGTTTTGTTTGGGAGTCTACTATAATGCTCTCAAAAATGCAACACACAAGCAAAAGAAGCAGAAAATTGCTGCTGAAAGAATCAAGAACGGATTTGATAATTAAAAAAACGCAACAATTAAAGAAATGTGGGATTGCATAATTTTTAAGATAACAATTTACTTCCAGTTCGACTTAACGCTGGACTAGCCAGAAGATTTGCATTTGCAAGCAACTGTTCACGCATTTTTGCTATTTCCTTTTCCGACGCCAGGCAACGATTTCTCTCTGTAGCAGTGACTATTTAAAACCAATTTCATGTAATAAAAAATGATAACTGATTCCATTCGTAAAAGTAAATTAGGTTTTGAAATCTTTTATCTTTTTTCACATTTATAGAAAAACGAAAATTAGTAAAAATTCTTATTACATACAAAGTTTTGATAACTGAAGACTTCTCTACATCATTAAAAAATAATTAAGATGTAAAGTTAACCTTTGGCCAGCTCGGAATCCACCAGTTTCTTTTGCTTTGTTAAATTGTTGTAGCGGGTACGAAGGCTTGACAACTCGATATTCAAAGCATTTAGCTTAGCAGCTGCTTCTTCGCATTCCTGAAATTCTTGACAAAACTTTTGAAAAAACAAACTGAATTAAAGACTCTTTTACTCAAGTCGTATTAAAAGTTGCTTAATCTTTCAATCTTTCGATATTTCATTTTTTTACCGACTGTCATACCTTTACAATGAATGGTTGCATCAGCTAATGTCAAGGAACATACAGCGAATGTGCGGGATAAGCCATGTAAAATGATGACACCTCGTCTTTATCCTTCGGCTGTTTGAAGCCGTTTGATAAAAATTTTTGATAGCTTAAGTTCATTTCTAAATAAAACGTCTATGCCTAATTTCATAGATTAGGAAGAGAAACTAAGGAATGACCATTTTCAACCCATCCTTCGTATTTTGCAGTTCCTCCTCCAATTTAATGTTCTTTGCCGCTTCTTCTTTTCGAATAGCTTCCAGCAATTTCACTTTTGCTTCCAAATCTTCTGCATGCGCCTTAGTAGCCAAAAGTACACATCTGTAACAATAACAATCCTCTGACTGTATTCATCCCCTAATTGTATCTATATTCAAACAATTCCCTAACTAAATGTAAATTCACCGCTTGAAAGTTATAACTTCGGAAGTGTCTCATGTCGATTTAGCTGAATGTGTTGTGCTCTAAACGCCTTCCTATACATATTTCAATTTTTGACTTATTATCGCACTGCAAATCTAGAAAATTAATGGTCACTAGATACCATCATATTAATGAAGATCCAAAAAAATCTTTTTGACAATAATTTCATTGAAAGATGATTCAATGTGACAAAAATAATCTATCAGAAAATTAATAACAATGATAAAAATGAGAAAATGGGAAATAAAATTATAAATAATATAGAATAAGAAATTTCAAGGATAAATTCGGAACTGATGATGTGAAGACTATCAAGAATCACTACTTCTCCTTCAGCGCTCCAATACAAATAAGGTTGAGAATAAACAAAAATAAAAATCATTTTATGCACAAAAAAGGATGGTATGAGTGATTTTTTTAGAATAAGTTTTTCAAGAGGAGAAAAGAGAAAAAGATAGTGTCCAAGAGGTAATTTCTCTATAATTTAAAGAAAGAAAAACTCCGAAATTGGTTGAGGCACAACTTAAATTTTAAATAAAGGATTTGTAATCAAGAAAACCAAAAAAAAACCTTTGTGTCTCTAACTTTGCCATTTCTGCTCGCATTTTATCAGCTTCTGCCGAAATTGTCCACAATCGACCATTTTCTGCAGTCTGAATTAAATCGTAGGGTAAAGTGCGCTTGTGCATTTTTCAATTGTTTAAATTTAGATTTATTGCTAGTTGAAAAATTTTCAATTTAAAGAACTTGCTTACTCAAATTTGAATTCGGATTTCTAAACTTACAATATTCTAAATTTTCTGCTACTGCCATATGTGAAGAACTATGAATGGATAATCCGTAGAAGTTTGCATACCCAGGTACTCTAGGTGTCTGATAATAGCAAGCAGAACTTTAGGACAGTGACTTAATGACACCTATCAGTTGCAAGTAATCTTACAAATACAACTATTCAGTAAATATCTCTCATCATTAATCCATTTGTGTATTAAGCGCTATTAAGTCGAAAAATTCAGTTTCCAGATGTCTAAAGAGATGCTTCATTTTTAAAGCCTAGAGTTTCATTCTTATCGCAAACGTTACTAAAGTATCAATGAAGCCATACCATAAAGTCGAGTTTCTGCTGCAATGAAATGATCTTGTTTTCAAGGCCTTTATTTAGCTTCTGCAGATGTCCAACAGACCGAGCCTCGATCTAAAATTATCTCAATGAAAACTAAAACAAAAAATTGTTGAATAATCAAGCTCTAAAACTATTTTACTGCTTCCCATATTATTCAGACGTTCAAACTTAAAAATTATACAAATGTTAATTTAGCCACTCATTTTTTTTGCTCTCACAAATACGTGATAACTTGATCAAAGCACAAAAATATAAATTTCATAATGGAATAAAAATTTGTTTTTCTGAAATTGTATGATAAATCAATAAAGAGAAGAATCAAAAAAAATTAATATTCTCGCAATGATACTGTCGTAAAGCAAACTACTTGCTCACTTGTTAAAAATGTGTTTTGGGCTGATATACCTGACAGCAGCAAATAAACAGAAATATCACTATTTTTCTGCTATTTATATTAGATTATTAGGCGCGTATGAATTGATTAATAAACAAATAAAGTTATTACGTATTTTTTGCAATTCATTAACAATAAATTAACAGTAAAGTGATAGATGATACCAACGCTATGAATATGAGTAACAAAACAAATGAGAATAGCTATTCCTAAGGATTGCATCGAAGATTATAGATGAAATTCCTACCTTCAATTCACGTAGGCGTCTCCTTGCAAGCCATTGCCGTACCTGACATTGTATCATGACAATCTTTTTATTGTGCTCGATCTGATTACGCCTCACTAACCAGCCACGCCAATACTTTTGAATTACGATCGCTTTTTGTTCGCGCCGCAACTGAAATTGAAAATAAATTCATGAATAATAAGCTAAAATCAGTACAACGAAATTGAGAAAATGGTTTGATCAAAATCAAAAAAGAAAATTAACATTGGATTGAAAGACAATTGCTTGAAATTTTCTGCAACATTTAAATCTGTACTCAGAATGTTGTAGTCAACAACTTATTGAAAAGTTATCATATTGAGTTAAAGAATTTTTAATGAGTAGTTTAATTCACTTTAATATTAGATCAAAACGAAAGAGATACAACGAAATAAATTATTCGGATGTACGAAACTTGAACATGCAACATTACTGAAATTAGAAGATATGGTAAGTGAACAGATTGAGCGTTGTGGTAAATGGATCGATTTATAATTAAAGTTTCATACTGTATAATGAACAGGGAGTGCTTATGCATTAATCCAATTTTTAAGAAAAAATTTAGATTAATTATAAACTCTGCTTTCAAACATGATGCAGTACTGGAAGTAAGGAAGAGAATACGAAAAAATAGGTAATTAAAATTTTCATTAAAATTTCTAGAGAAAAGAAGTGAAGAACAAACGAATTTTTCTATCGCATTTTGAGGCAGTAAATCGACCAGGCATCACACTCTGTACACACTCAAAAAAGGCGTAAGAGAGATCATTTAAATCAAGTTAAGGAACAAACCGGACATCGAAAAAAACATAGGCTAAAAATTTACTAGAAGAAATTCTTTCGGTTCAAGTATTAGAAATAGCAATAACTAATATTTATTGTTCCCTCTCTAGGAAACAGAAAATTAAAAAATGTCGATTCAACGAATATCGATTCAACCAAGAAGTACCAATAAACAGGTTTCAGTCTATCAGGAAATCAAAACAGAACGTATGTAAAATAATCATACAGACTATTATGAGAAAGAAAAATTTCAGTTTCACATCAAAAGATGTCAAAATTTCCAGGAATTCTACAAAAAAAGTGGCGCAATGCATCAAATTGAGCATATAGGAATGAACTGACCTTGGAATTCTCATGCAATTCTTCTTGATTAGCCAATGAAAGGCTCATTAAAAGTTCACGAGATTTCAGTTGTGCGCTCAAACCACCACCCAAGGGGGAGTACATTATTCAAATTACTTGAGATGATCATTTCTGTGATCAATGTAATAATTTTGAAAAGAAAATGTCTTTTTATTATCGCAATAATGCTATAATAATGAGAACTAAACCAAACAAATGCCTTCTTACATCACTGTCATAATGGTACTTGACCAGGAGGACAAAAGTTTGCTGAGATCTGACATGAGTGATTTGTTAGTTTAATATCTTATTACCAACAATATAAATAAAATTATTGAAATTTTGCTAGTTGCAAACGATCTTAGCATATACTTGTTAAATAATGTAAATCTTCATTGCTGATGTATATGATTTTTTCCACTTATGCATTTCCTGTCCATAGTCAGTTCCTTTTCACAATAATCAATTACTCTTAATAGATATCGAATAAGCTCAGTATAAATCAAAGTGATAGATTTAAATACCTTTTCCATCTTTTGACGTAATACCGATGCTCGATAAAGGGTCTGTATCATGATAATGACTGCTTTTAGTAAGCTATAACGACGCTGCGCTGCGTAACGACGAAACGCAGTTTGTATGCAAACTGTAGCACGATACATTTGAAGATATTTCATGCGCCTGTACGCTAAGAATGCACGCGTATAAACCTAAAAGACATTCCTGAATTGCATTATTTCAATCGATTAGAAATTTGAATTAATCAATGTTAGTCCTGTTCCATAAAAAACAAAGCATATTTGAAGGAAAAATAATAGATACATGGATACCTGAATTTTTAAAAGCGATTCTTTGATATATCGGTACTTTTTTCGAGAGATGTAGCCTTTCCAAATCTTCTGGATCATAACAGTTGAATTTGTTAATTTTTGATGTAGTACTCTCTCTAACAGGGCTACCTGTCCAGTTCGAAAGAATATCTTTGTTTTACCCAAGGCATACATTTTACTCTACAACGAAATAATTTTGCAAACATTAGTGGTAACTATGAAGAGTATAGTTAAAAGTTTTTTTCGCCACTTGATATGCAAAATAAATCAGGCCTGTCAAAGTTGTCCCAAGAAACAACACAAGGAGATTTCGATTCAAACTGATGAAAGGGATGGCGAAATGAAAGAAGCCAATTTTTAAACATCACTGCAAGCAACTGTCCTAGATATCAAAAAATTAGCATGAATTTACCTCAAGATATTTACTACATGCTTTTTCTGCAAAAATTTTTGGCTCTTCAAGCCATAATTTTTTTTTGGGATAGAGGATGCGGTATCTTCGCGAAAAATCTTCATACATCCACCTGAAAATAGACTGTAATTAACAATAAATTTGCATCATTTAATAAAGAATATAATTTGCTGCAAGCGCTATGCAAATGCTTACCAAACAAAAAGGATACAAAAATTCTAAAACCTCCCATAAAGAAATAATTTCATTTCATTATTTGCTTTAAATTTTATTATATTCTAAGCTTTGATAAGTTCGCAATTCTTAACAAGTCAATGTATCATAATCAATACCTAGAAGGATAACCCGCGGCAGATATACGCACTGTTTCCAGAATTCCGCAAGCTCGCAACTGTTGAATGGCCCGTTTAGGTTTGAATGTAAACGGTAACTTCTCATCATTCGGCTTGATGCAACGCACATAGTGTGGTCGTGTGCTGCTAAGCACTGTTATTAGTTCACGTAGTGAATCTCGAAACTGAAATTCGACTTAAATAAATTGAATTAAAGATAGAATCAGATCAATTCTGAATTCAGGTTCAGTTTCCATACAACTTAAAAATTTTCCAGAAATAATAAAAAATAGCTCGATAATTTCTATTAACTTGGCTAAAATTATGGATTTTCAAAAATAAAGTCACAAATGATAAGGAGTCCTCTGCTAAAATTCTTTCCACTTAAATAGCTAAAAATAGAATACGAAGAAATCTCACTCCTTTTGCCGCTCTTTATACGAGTTTAGAAAAAAAAAGCAAAAAAAATGAGATCTAAATTGGTGGATTTTTATGAAAACCGATCGTCGCTATAGGACAAATAAAAGTATGTCAAAACGAAGTGTTTTTTTTTCAATTGACAAATCAAAAATGCCGTGGAATTATTATAGAGAGCAATAACTATACCTGGAAGGAGACAGATTTCTTTATTGAATTTTTAGTGTTGGATATAAGAAAGTTATTTCTACCTTCTAATGATTTCTTGCCGCTTTCAGCATCCAGTATTTCATGCATTAAATAGAACTGAAATTCACATTAAAAAATAAACGACATACCGAAAACTACCATAATATTGCTGAACGTTTATTTTACTATATTAAACGTAATAAAATATTACCATCACATTAAAAATACTTAACGATTAGATCAATATTGAGATATTTTAAAATGGTTAATATTTAAGGTTTGATGAATAAGCAAATGGATAATCAAAAAAGCAATTTTTCAAATGAAATATTGCTATTATTAACCTTGCTATTCTTCATAACAGACATCAGCTGTTCGCTTACTGTATCTTTATTCTTAGCCATGAAACCGTCGACATTGTAAATAACATCGGCAGCAAAATGTTTGATCACAAATGTTGGATTCTGAGAAAAGAGAAATTCTTTAGAGCAAAATACTCCAAATTTATTAAAAATGTGTCCATAATGTGATATAAGGCATACTTTTATTTTCGGTAACTTAAAATGCTGCGCTTTTTTGAGCCATTCACATGTTCGTAACTTCTCCAACCAATCGTGATCACCTCCTTGACCCATCTAAATAATTTAATTTTATAATATTCAAATTTTGTACGACATCTAAGATCTTGCAAATAATGCCGTCACAAATATTTAGAATAAGTGCAAGATATAATTAATGCATAACTTTTTACATTATTTCTATTTTTACCTATTTAAGTTTACTGACTTCACTCTTTATAAATTATCATCTATTGTTATGACAGTTTTTTTTTCAAAAATATTCTGGAACTGCACCTTACACTGCTCATCAAGGCAATCGATGATGCCGGGTCTGCCCTCTATCAAATCGATACATGGCTGATTATCGTAAAAATCAATCCGCGTCCAATCAATTTCTTCCCGTTCGTATTCCAACTGTTCAAGTTTGAATACATGCTGAAATCTTATTGGAAAAAATATACAAACATAGTTTTCACAGTCGCCTTTTTCTTATCTTTTCATCATCAATTCTCATTTCTTCCTTTAGTAAAGTGAACCAAATTTGAGTTTCTAAATCTTGAACTTGTGAAATTTTTTTTGTAAATATCCCCCATCTTTCTTTATCTCTATTAATTTGTAAAATCTGTTTGAAAAATATGCAAAATACGAAATACTCTTGAAATTATTTGCATGGCACTGGATCTTGTTGTGTACAACATATTCAAATACTAAAGTTCAGAGCAAACCAAAATTATTGGTTAGGTGAAATCAGACAATATGAAAAACATTTTTCATTAAAAGACTTTTGGAGCTAACCTGACAAAATTGTTGCTGAAGCTTTTCATTTGCATAATTAATGCAGAACTGTTCGAAACTATTGACTTCTAAAGTTTCAAACCTGCAATGAGCATAAAAGTCAGAAGAATCTCCTCACCAAACGAGATAAAAAGATGAATGACGCAAGTCAGAAATTTTAAAACGTTAACTTCTTAAAGCTAAATTAGACTGACCCATAGATATCGAGAACACCTATAAATCTTCCAGTGTTCTTTGATTTGCTGCTTTTTATTGGTTCTCCCAAAGCTTCATTTACTTTTTTAACAATCCAAGCAAATGCTGCGGCATAAAGCATTTTAACCAGCGCATCTCGACGTTCCACTGCCTTTAATATCACAAGATTATGTATTTCACAGTCGAATATTAGAAATTTTACTTCATTTCTCTAAATGGAAATGAAAATTAAGTATTAATGAGATCGGATATAATAAACCGAATTTCGAAAAAACAGCAATAGAGATTTTTGCAATAATAAAGAAATTAAGAGAAAAATTGACTTCAGCAGTGGTTAATGGTTTTCGAACGGATTCTCCGCCAGCAACAATTTCGCGAGCAATTAACCACATACATAAATCGTCTTTGTTTACTTCATACATCTTCTCACATAGTTGATTGATTGCATTCGAACTATTTTGCTTAAGAAATTTTCCGCTTTGGAAACCATAAAATTTGAAACAATACGATCAAATTGTCAAAAGAAAATCAAATTTCTAAATTTCAATTTAACACTGAGTAGTGTAAAATTGGTACAGAAAAAAAGTCAACTATGCGCCAAGTTGGATTTATCTCGGATCATGTAAACCTCTGCAGCGACAGAAGCAAAAGCAAAAAAATAGTTAATTCGGCATCAGCGAAATTAGATTTTTACCCAAACTAGAATTAAAAAATTTGCCAATGAAAAGCGTCGTTTGCAACAGAAAGCCATAAGTAAAGAACTTACATCAATTTTTGCATATTCATCACGTCCATCAACGAATCTGATATTGCCAAATAAAAGGAGGCCTGCAAAGAAACGAAGTACCGATTTCTGGGCATCAGTTGAGATGTGAAAAAGATCGAATGCAGCCAGCGTTTGTAGGAAATCACTTCGATCATCGATTGTTTCTACTTCACCGCTGTTTCCTTGAGACGTATAAAAATACGAACTCCAATTATCTATAATTTATTTTCATTTCTTAATCAAATTCCAAGGAATAAAGCGTGTATATAAAGCAGAATACAATTAATTAATTAACCAGAAAAGACGTGATAGATAAAATTTCAAAGACGATCAGATGCAACAATTTGAGATGTCAAAAAGCACTTGGCTATATGCAAGTTCATTAGTTACTTCTCTTCTTAAATTTTTTTAGTGATTTGAATACAATGAGATAATGAAAACCAATATATCCTTCATACTGAATAATTAGTATTGCTAATTAATTATAAGTAAGTACAAGTTGAAATACCAAACTGATACCTAGTTCGAGATCTTCCACAAGAGCATGAGATCTTGATGCGCAAATCTGGTAAAAAATATGGTAGTTGCGTTCGTTGTCTGCCTGAAATAATAGAAAATAATCAGATTGAAAATAATATCAGTTAAGGTTATAACCGTAATCAGAAAATTCGAATAATAATCGGACTACAGTTTATTTTTGATAATGCTATAATAAGTTAAGTTTCATTCAAGTTCTACGCTAATTTTTGAACTTTATCTGGTGACCTGAAATACAACACGACTTTTTTCCAACAAATAAGTTTTCAATTCAGCACCACCAATACCGAAACGATCATTGAAATCAATTTGTATGTATTTTCCAAAGCGAGATGAATTGTCGTTCCGGATTGTCTTTGCATTTCCGACTGCTTCCATAATTGGATTTGATGCCAGAACGCGATCTTCAATGCCATCTACCTGTTTATTACCATATGATTTACTCGATGAAGAACATGCCACCGATGTTAGGTACCTAAAACTTCACAAGAATGAAGGTATAATAAGTACCTGTATGATAAGTATGATATCATCGTCATCCCCGTAAGTACATTTGCGTAATTAAAGGAAATATTTTGAAAATTAATATTCTAACCTCATAACAAACTTAGCAGAAACTGTTTTGCCAGCACCAGATTCACCGCTAACGATCACAGATTGATCTTTGTCGAATTTAGACAGATCGAAAAATGCTTCCTCCGCAACAGCATAAATATGAGGATCAAGCTCTCGAACTTGTTTACCAACACCGCGGTATACCTGTATTTAAGTATTCCAACAATACCCAAAGTTTTTAAGAAGTGCAAGGATGACACATCTGACAATATATTTAGGAAAAATTTCGAAAACAAAATTGGTCTACTTCATAAGAACTTTATCCTATAATCCTCAATAATCTGTTTAATAGTTTTGAATGAAGATATAGTAAGCACCTGTATGACATCATCCCCGTAGAGCTGAGAGCAATTCGTATACGGATTAATAGCTACTAAAACAATACCACAATAAGTGTAGATTGCTTCTCGTCTAACAAATCGAAAATTAAGATGATTGAGAACGGCAGGTTCGTGCAGATAACTTAATGTTGTCAAATCATCGCAACCAAGTAAGATATCGGGATTACACAAGAATGGAAGTTTTTCCGTCTCTACAAGGTCAAATTCGATGACCTAAAAAAAAATCGCACAGTTATGCTAATCACATTGAATTTACAAACGAAATGAATTGTTGCTCAGTAATGCAAAAAAAATTATAACGCAATCATATAAAGTGAACAAAATGAATACCATGTAACTTACTTGTCCATCTTGTAGTCGTATCTTATTTCGTAAAGTAAATTTGAGATCATCCAATAATTCGCCATCTATCCATACCTTTTCTGGATCTCTTAACCATACACGTGTACCTATAAAATATATGTAAAATTAAAAAAGTTATAGCAAACGTACAGATTAAATTTATCTTGCAATTAAATTCTTTTTAACAATTCAAAGAATAATTTAAATCTCATAAAATTCTATAGAAATTAATACATTCTATTCTTTAAAAAATGAAATTTCCATTTGTTAAAATTCAAATTAAAAACTAAAAATTGATAAATGAACCTTTTTTATAATTTTCAATCTGAAATAACTTTCCTCGATCATCAACAGTTGCAAAATCATTAATCATCGCAAATTGTTCTTTATACGGCTGAGTGAAATAATAAAGAGGATGAAATATAAAACAATTGTATGTGTTGCGTTAGTTTGATATCGTTAGAATTAATGTAAAATCTATAAGAAAAGAATATATAAAGAGGAAAAAGTACATGAATTGATTGCAACAATTTAATAATATTCTAATACAAATTAATCATCTTATCAGCACTATATAAAGTATCATCGATAAAATGATAAAATTGATGGGCAGGAAATTAAAACAAAGAAATTTAATTCACAGCATTCCTATATAATTAATACGAATCTTTACTTAACAAATAGAATAAGCGAACAATAAAATAAACAAAAGGCATAATTTCAAATGCTTTTTGATAACATTGAAAGCTCCCTGAAAGTTTTATATGTTTATTTGAGAAATGAAGATAAACTTTTCAAAAATGAAAAAAACATTTCAAAAAATATCAATAAAAATAAATAGAGAAATGATAATTGAAAAATGAGTTATCAAAAATAATTGTCAACAATGAAATGTTATCAGACTTTTATGAAAATAAAATAACAATACCTTTAGAGTTCTAATGCTAGAAGAACAACAGTCTTTATAATCAATTCACCTTTTCTAGAATGACACAAGGTAAAACAGGAAAGAAATAATGAGCAGTGTCAGCTGGTCAATTGGTGATGGATTAAAATGAAGCAAGGTAAGACAAGAAAGAGGTAATGAATAATGTCAACTGGTCAATTGATGATGGGCGTTGTTGCTAACAGACCGTAATAGAACCAATATTTACATATAGCAAAAAATAACGGATGGGAATGAGACTTGACGAGAATGCTCATAGGATGTGTTCATTACAGCTGGTATTATTAGCGATCAATAATTATTAGCCACTTTTATATCGTCAATGGAAATCCATTTTATAACAATATTAAAAATGATAGCTTATGTGACAGTGAACACGAATTGCTTAACTATCCATCTTCTTTACAAAAAAAAGGAAGAAGAGGTAGAAATTTGAAAAATTGACCTTGAATTACAGCGGAAAATGGCTTTCACTGTATCCATGTAAGACGAAAAAAAATTAAATTAAGAAAAATCATCGAATTCCAAAAAAATTTGAAAATTAGAAATTTCTAAATTTAAAATATAAAAGTTAAAAAAAAATTGAAATGTTTACATATCTCAATGTTGCAACAATAAACATTTAATGTGATGAATAAATCCTGTTCTTTTTTCTTTCCTCTTTTCACTTCCGTCGTAACAGTCGTAGAAGAATGTAGGAATCTTATCCAATCGTTAATTTAATCGATCGGTCAAATCATTATCCATTTATCAAAAAAAAAATTTTTTTTGAAAATTATGTACCGATGATTTTCTTCAAATACTTCCTCAATTTTACCTGTTTTAACTTGTATTTTGATCAGTACTCAAATATTTTATTGACAAAAATACTTAATCAATTCTATTAATTAAAATGAATTCTATAATTAGATCATTTTGAAATAGGTAATTAAACAGTCAAACATAAAAATCAGATAATTAAATATAATGGGGATGGATGATACGGTCAAAAATATGAGATATAATTTAACGAGTGAAGATAAAATTTAGCATTGTATTTTAAATGAACATATTTTCTAGCCTATTATTTTTTCACAACACTTTTAATATATAAATTAATTGTTGTCTAACTTATCAATTTTCATCTTAAAAATTTTAATTTAAATAGCTGCGAAAGTATCCATACGTTGAAAGGAAACAATTTTAATATCAAATCAACGATTAGCATAATAAATAATACATTAATAGCTACAATTAAGTTATTACAATATGCCTTTTGTAAAAAAATGAAATTTTAATAAATTATAAAAATCTATTTTCATTATTGCCATCTCGAGAGCTGTTAAAATTTTTAATTGACTTGGGACTTTTTTTAGTTCTAATCAAAGATTCCAGCCTCTGTGAAAATAGTACTCATTGCACCCTCTCGAGAACCCACATTATTATAAAATAAAATTAAAAAAAACTACTAACACCTGGAAAATTCTGGAAAATACAATCGTTATATGAAAATCGAAACTTCAACAAGTATTCGCATCAATTAATATAACAATTAGCTTTGCCTAAGTTAATTAAAAAGCTTAAATCACTTGTAACAAATAATTGGTTGTCTAATTTTATAATTTTTACCTTAAAAATCAAAACTGTTACCATGATAAGCTTTTTGAAAAGAAGTGAAATCTTGATAAATCATTAAAAAGTATGGTTGGAAAATCTTGGAAAATTCTGCAAAATAAAATTGTTATGTGGAATTCGAGATTTCAATTTTCAGCAAGTATCCGCATCAATTAATACAATAATTAGCTCTTTTTAAGTTAACAAAAAAGCCAAATAGGAAAGTTAAAAGATAAAATTTTGAGAGTTGATCGTCAAATAGTTACGAATGTTTTGGGAGTAGAATTATAAGAACAAGTATAACATGATAAGATTAATTTGATAAAAACCGACCAATAAATAACTTGAAGGATGGTTTGTTTCCATATTATCGGATTACAGCAATAACTATTCTCCTTAACGTTTCATAAATAAATTAGTCATCTTAGATTTACAAAATGGAAATGCCGATAACACAAATGAATAATGTAAAAGTTAAATAAATTTGAGAGTTTGAAAAGTTTTATTTAATTTTCAATTTAAATTCGGTAGAATGTTGAAAGATTCAAAAAAGGCACTATAGTTTTGCATAAATTAAATAACCGCAACAATATTAAAATATGGAAGTAAGTAGGGGTCATAGATCATTGCATTAAGCAAAGTATTATTGAAAGTAGGGGTCATAGATTATGCATTAAGTAAAGTATTATTGAAATTATAAATAACTGTTCAAAATAAATTAAATGCTAAAGCTTACACTTTTCTTTATCAAAAATTGAGAGAGTTTTGCTTACATTAATTATGAAATTTTAAGTTGTAAAAAAGAGAACAAACCTGTCGTTATCGTAAAAATTGACAAATACAAGAAATAACAAAAGAAAAGATAAATTACGAAAAATAGAATTCAATGTTTAAGAGAGGTTTTAATTTCAAATGTTATTATTGTAGTAATTTTATCAATGTTAAGTTCTGTTTCTAATAAAAAATAAAATCGGAATATCACTGTACTATAAGGAAACGAAATTTAATTCCTATCGATATAATAATCCTTTCAAATTGCTATCTAAATAGCAAGTCAATGATGAAAATAATTTGAATTGCTAATTATGAATGAAAATTAAAATATTCCATTTTCATCTTTTAAGATTTCAAATTTCAAAACGCCTAAAGTTATAGGATATTGTCTATCACTAAAGTTCACATTGCTGATCATAACCACAAAAGAGGCGCAAACAATAGGAAATATCAAATGTAAATAATCATAGTGATAAATTATCGATATTTTTCGGCAGTGAAAAATGTATGATTGAGCGTTTATGAAAGAAAAAGCAAAGTACAATCATTTCTATACTAAATGGATTCATTCTCTCTCTCACAACCTTCCTTATGATTCAATTCTATAATCAATTGAATGAAATTTCTCGCATCAATAATTTCATAATTCCTTTCACTATTATAATATTATATAAACCAATAAGCATAGTATAAAACTACGCATTTATAGTTTAATTCCCTCTAAATTGCTTTAGAACACATTAATATAAAAATGGTTTCATTAAGTAGCATAGATCAATGATTTTTATATTATATCACTATGATATATCATCAGTGAAATTATTTAGAAGATAGGAAAATCTCCAATTTCTTAAGTATAGTTCAAATTAGATCGGAGGGGGAATTTTATGATTACAATTAATAAAGAGGACAAAAGTTGATAGTCACAAATTTTATGACTGATAAATTGATAAAGTCATTTCATGAATGAATTAAATTTTATCATCTATAGATAAATTTCTTTCACTTCTTTCATTAATTAACAGTCTCTATAAAAAAATTTTTAACCAATTATTGCCAGAAAATAACAATAACAATTGCATGAAGTATTTTTTAAATTTCTAGGAAGATATATTTGAGATATTTCTATATCTTTTTGCAAATGCTATTCGATAGAAATAATTATATTATATATTTTATATATTATACTATATCTTTTTGCAAATGCTATTCGATAGAAATAATCAATTATATAATATATTTTATATATTATACTATATATTTTTGCAAATGCTGTTCGGTAGGAACAATCAATTATATTATATATTTTATATTATATTTCATACTTTTCAGATTATATCTTCTTTCTTGAGCAATAAAATTTATTTAATATTATGTTGAAATTATTCATTACCTATGTTTAACATTTATAAACCCAAATAGAAACATGCATTTAATACACTCATATACATTCCTTAAATATGCAAATATAATAAATAATTTTTTAAATATCAAAATTAAATTTGTACGAGAAGATAGAAATGCATCTTTTAATTAATTTAATGAAATCATTTTTGCATTTAAATTTAATTCGGTATTTGGTTGAATAAATTTGATTGAATATTTGTTGAGATTATTTTTGAAATTATTAGTAAATTAATTTAAAGAAAATAATTGGAAAGGAAAAGCTGGCAATTTTGATATTTCTTTTGGATCAATAAAAAATATATTTGTATAGAAAATGAAAAAAAGAAGGAGAATCGGTATGAATAGATCGATCGGCGTTGTAGGAATTCAATTCAATTCATTTTTCATTGTAGGAATTCAATTCAATTCATTTTTCATTGTAGGAATTCAATTCAATTCATTTTTCTGGTAATTATATTTTGCAATCATATTGTCCATTAAAGGTAAGTAGTAGATAGATAGTAATTACCCTTATACGTTTACTTATCTATCATCTTTACATTTGTCCTTTCCACTTTATGCTCCATCTTATTCACTTTGCTTTTCAATGATACAAAAACTATCGGAATATACCAATGATCAAAGTATATTTTAAAATATGTATAAATTTGTTA